ATAATTTTATGATGGAAAGTTACTAACCAAAATTTCTCTTTAAAAATAATGTAAAATTAAGCAGCTGTTTTTGTCAAAAGGGTGACTCCTCTGGTTTCATGTCCTCTTAATGTTTTTAAGGTGTTTGATAGATGATAATTATTATTATTATTACAATGAAGGCTGGTCTGAAAGGTCTTAAATTCAAAAAAATTATGACTATCTGAGAGTGAGATAAAAAATAATCAACACAAATAGAAGATGACAGCAGCCATCTGATAGTGGTGCATCTGAATTAATAGGATTATTAAACATTTAATCGTTAACTGTGAAGCAAATGCTGTTAGGATTAATAGCATTTGGTTAACCCTCACTGGAATGTAAAAAGTAAAGAAAAAAGTTACAAAATAGTTCAACCAAATCTGCTTTGTGTTATCCCACAAAAATCCCTAAAAAAAATAAATCCATTCTCTGATGGGAAGTGTTTTGTGAGTACTTGGTGCTCTATCTACCTGCTGCAAGGTGTTACAATGTACAGTTCCTCAAATATGACATCGGTTGAAACACGACTGTCAGATGGCTCAGTCTAGTAAAAGTTTGCGGCATTAAAGCTTTTACAGTTTTGTCAAAAGAAAGGGAAAATTCTCCCAGAGGTCAGAAAATAAGGTTTGGTTGACAGGTTCTGTATTTACTGTAGATCTAACTAACTGATTTATGAAATGAACTGACTTTAAGGCAAGGCCCTTTTGTTTGTTAAATGCTCAGACCGGTGAAAAACGTTATGAGAAAGTAGCAGTTTCTCTCAAGCCAACTGGTGATAAATTAACTCACTCACATGCATACCCTGAAAGAAGTCATACCATCAGCTGAACACCTCCATAGGTTTTCAAGTGTCTTGCCCAAGGATACGACGACACTGAAAGCCGGGCTCGATCTGACAACCCTCCGGTTAAAGGGTGAACTCCTTCATCCGACGCCACTTTCACCCCTGGATCCTATTGACCTGCAGTCTGATGTGATGCTGGCAGAGAGCTTTAAGTCAGTGTCACTGCTGGATTATTACTCTTCTCAAGGCTGAGAACTTTCCAGTCATGAGAAGAAATAAATATAGTAGGCTCAATCTGTAGACCTAAAAAATCATTCTCAGTGATAAAGATGATCAATTTCAGATATAGATCCTCTCTCACTGATGACGATCAGTGAGAGAGGATCATCTGTCAGCTGAGCTACAAATCTTCACTTTATTCATCCAACCTGACTTTGATGCACTTGGTAAAGCTCAAGAGAGACTAGATTTCTTCCAGTAAAAACATCAAATGATGCAGTTTAACTACATACTATGCAGAAATATTAAGGCAATAACTAGCATTTTATTATTACATTTGTTTTGGAGGTATTTTCCACATTATCACAGTTCAGTTATAATTATTGTTATCTGATGCATTTTGTTTAATATTTGCTGAACAAAAAAAAAAAGTCTTTGAAACTGCATGTTAAACTCAGAATAGGTTTTAGAGTGAATGTGACTTAATGATGTTTACTAATGATGCACACATGTTAAGAACTTTAACTTGTTGTTTACCATTGATTCATGAGATTTGGCTCTAAAAAGGTATAGAATGAAGTAAAGACAGTTGTGTAAGAAATAAGTTATCCTGTTTGGAGAGAAGTGGAAAAACACCGGCTCTTTTATATATTGAGTGAAATACATAAAAACTATTCTGTTATGTGGCTTATTTTCAGTGTGGACATGCAGGGGTGCAAAGGAAATAACTTTGATTTAACTTCTTTAACATAGTTCCAAGGATATGTAAAGTTTCGTCATTGCAGTAACAATAATAATAAAGGAAATATAAAAGCATGAAGAAGAAAACATTCTTTAAATGATGTTATTTACCTACCTCTCATACTGGGTTTCATTTAATGTAGTTTCCTTCTAGAAAGTAGTTCAGCAGCCAGTGTGTAACTTCCTCCTAACAGACATGTTAATTTGTGGTGTACTTGTTGCAGCGTTTTTTTAATGAACAGTATGTGAATTCACACATCGACTAAACACTGCTGCTCATAAGAAAAACCCTATCGACAATAATCTGTTTTCCATTTTATGATATTGAGTGAATTGGAATTACTTCAGTTACTGTATGCAAGATAGGTATTGAATTTAATACAGTAAGTGTTTGCTGATTTATTTATTTAATTTGTTCACATGCATCAAATAAAAATAATTTCATTAGTGCTTGTTCATCGTCAGAGATTTTTGCTGAGGGCCTAAACAAGGCTGGAGCTAAACCACATAGAAATGCCATGTTTACAAATTTAAATGTTTGTGTTATAGGGAGAAGTTATTTTACAAGTTAAGAGCTACATTCAGCATCTCTAAAGCTGTTCAATATTTTGAGGACGTACCCAGAAATAAAATCCACTCCAGATATGTTCCACAGAACAACATCCAGCATAACAAAGCAAGAAGAAAAAACAGAATGAATTAGAAAATAAAACCCAGAAAAACAAAACCAAGCAGACTTTATTGTTTGTAGCTTAAAATGTTTCCTCCTTTATCTGAAGCGGTTTCTCTGCTCAGAGCTAGTGACGCTAAAGTTCCCAGAAACTGTTTGCAAAAAGCAGTTTTACACGTCTAAATTCGTTCCTCCACCACATCAGGGTGTTAGTGCAGCTGTTGGTCTAGATAACTGAGAGATTTATGGTCACATGCAAGAAGGTGTGAACTGGCATGAAACTGATTAGGCATCAGGATTATTACTGAACTTATGTTTCTGAAAATCTTCTCTGTCCACAATATGGACACTTTGGTCCTAAAAGATTGTCCCTCATCCTTGAGGGTTAAGGTGCATACCTCAGTCTTGCCCTAAGAAGCTGGATCTATATTTAGCTGTGACTATTATAATTTTACTTATCTATGCAGTTTAAAATCCAAACAATTACCAAAAGAACATACTAAAATGGGTAATTAACTTCTGCTGCCCCCTCATCATTTAACAAAATTGACAATTCCGTTTTACAACATAGAGGACCCAGATATTTAGTGTTCAGTATGAGTGAACAGCTCATTCTTTTACTGTGCAGACCAGTAGATGGACTGCAGTAAAATGCTGCTCTACTGTCTGGTTCACAGCATTTTACTCTGAAAATGTGGCAGCCCTACAGAATCAATGACACACTAGGCACAGTGGGACATAAAGGCAGACCTGAATGAGAACACATGCATAAGTTTACGGATTTTATTCCTTCTTTGTCATAGCATATGACTTTTAAATAATGCGAGCTAACACAAGACTAGCTTTAGTTTCTGTATTACAATAAATAGAACTTGCGAAGTATCATATCCTGTGGAAAAAGGCTTATCTAATAATGTATGTCTTTGTGGTGTTTGGGGAAGGTTTAATCATAGGCATACAATAATGTTCAAGTCCACAAACCAAGGCCTTTAAAGACTAGGAAATGCTAAGATATCAATATAGTATCGAAAGCTGTTAAGATAATAACAACTGTATGTCATGAGCTTCTAATGCTGCTGAGCAAACTGGCTAAATGTGTCTCTTCAAGGGCTGTGACTTCCTCAAATTACTTCTGAAACTAGACGAGAGGGTGATAGAAAAAAGTATTAGCAGTTCTCAGTGGCAGCTTCTTGCTGCATGGTACACAGGTGTAGACTTCACAAAATCCAGAACCAAAACAATCAAGTCCAGTCAGTGGCTGCATCAGGATGTCCTCAGTTATTTAATTTAAGGTAAATGTAACCTCCAAAGTGAGATATTCCAAAAAGGAGCAAGAACATGAACATAAACTTCTTCTTTTTTTAAATGTGTGCCTCTTTATTTAATAAAGGAAATATATACATTTTACTGTTATTTTATGGACCATTATCAATTTTTATCTATGCCTGGTATACATACATATACATATATATATATATATATATATATATATACATTGCTCAAAAAAATTAAAGGAACACTTTAAAAACAAATCAGATCTCAGTGGGGGAAAAAAAATCCTGCTGTTTATTTATATTAATATGGACTGGGTGATGTGTTAGGAACAAAAGGATACCACATCATTTGATGGAAATGAAGCTTATCAACCTACAGAGGGCCGAATTCAAAAGCACCCCAACAATTATAGGGTCTTATAGGGTCGCCACTCTCCCATAAACTATGGAATCTTCCTTTATTTTGCAGTGAAATGTTGCATTATCTATTAAACCAATATGGGACACAATTTATTGGTAATTATTTAATAAATCACAGATACTCATGTTTGTCCAACACTCATCACCTCTACTGTAAATCAAACAAAAATCAAAGAAATAAAAGGCAGGAAATACTAAGACCAGCAAAGCTCATTATTTGCTGCCATCAAGGTTGCCTAGAGACAGACACAACTCACCAACTCTGTCCTCCATCACCCAGTTTAACCCCTGCTACTCCACCAATTCCTTAGAAGGAAGCTCATACAAAAATATAGACTACAGCGGGAAGAATTAAATCCATTGCTGAGGGTTTTTAACCATCAAGTGTGTGGTAGGTTTTCACAGTCAATCACATCAACCTGAACATAAAATCAAGCCTGTAGGCCTAATACCAATAGGAGCCCTTGTTTTTCTGCATGTGCATGCAAATGAAACAATGAATGCACATTTCTGTTTCTGGGCTAAAAAGCATCACAAAACGAGCATAACACTGAAGAAAAGTCAATCCTTTGTTTCTTTGTGAAAATGCAGAAAGATGGAAGAAGGAAGCTACTGATAAGAGGTGTTCATGGTGAGACTTACCTGAACTAAATGAGTGGAACCCAGTTATGCTGCCAAACATTTGTTGGCTCACAAGCAACCAGCACAAAACAGCAAAAGCTAAATATCAGCCACAAAGTAAAACAGTCTCTTTTCTATAATCACACCTTTACCATTTCATTCAGCATAACACAGATTTCAGCAGCTTTTCCACACAGCGGTGGCTTAAATAAAACCCAAGAGAAAAACAGAGTAAACCAGCTCAACTTACCACCGGGCCTGGCTCTCCTCGATCCCCTCTGGCCCCTCTGATCCCAGCCCCCCCCTGTTAGAAACCAAACAAATATAATATTCAGAGATGCAGCATCAATAAATTTAATGGTAGTAAGCGGGTTTGTGTGTCTGAATGGACAAAAAGGAAAAGAAAAAAATGGGGTTAAAATGATGAAACCAAAGCAACTTAAACTGCAAAATAAAGATTATTTGCTAAAAGTATAAGTATGTAATATGATCTTTGTATATTAGGTGGACTTTGATAATCCAATTTCATTAAAAAGGCCCAATTTATTTAGGAACATATTAACATGCTGTGTTTTCTTCAGTGGACCAATAACACTCAGTACCTCTATATGCAGTTTATCTAATAACAAAGCAACATGATTGCCTTTTAGGGCTGCTCAGTGGCAAGCAGTGGGTAGCACTGTTGCCTTGCACCAAGAAGGTTGCAGGTTTGATTCCCAGCCCTGGGTCTTTCTGCATGGAGTTTGCATGTTCTCCCTGAGCCTGCATGGGTTCTCTCCGGGTACTCTGGCTTCCTCCCACAGTCCAAAAACATGACTGTTAGGTTAATTAGCTTCTCTAAATTGTTCCTAGGTGTGAGTGTGTGCGTGAATGGTTGTTTGTCCTGTCTGTCTCTGTGTTGCCCTGAACTGGCGACCTGTCCAGGATGTACCCCGCCTGTCGCCCGTGGACGGCTAGAGATAGGCACCAGCACCCCTCACGACCCCGCTTGGGATAAAGCATGTCAGAAAATGGATGGATGGGTAATGCCTTTTAAAAAAAGGATAAATATAATGTGTTGCTCACTGGTACTCCGGGAGGACCAGGTAGACCTTTGCTATCTTGTGTGCAGGTGCAGGCTTTGGGCAAGGCCGGGCAGTCTGCTTCCTTCCTCTGGATGATGATGGTGGGATGGAAATGAAAAAGAAAAAGAGAAACATATTGATATGATAGAATGGTTTAAAATATGAGCAAACAAACTAAAGGTTTGAAACTTGCTGCATTTCTAGTAAACTGATGAAAGATGCAATGCAAAGTGAAAATCTTAAAGATCGCCTATCAGAGCTTTCTGCAACTGCCTCAGTTTAATAATTTACCAACAAATTAAAACACGTTTTTTTTTTTTAAAGTTACATTTACTTTAGACCTCTTAGCAGAAGACAACTTAAATATTTCAGAAAAATCCTTTTAATAATACATAACTAATAGGTATCAAAAACGGCAACAAAAAAAAACAGATGGTGTGGACTTGTAGCATATTTGATTCTGAAAGTAACTTTAGGAACTCCTCTGGATAAATCTATAACATTTAAAGCATTATTCCAGATCTCTAACTTTGGTTTCTATGGGTTTTTCTTTTTCCTTAAAGAGTCTGAAAAAATATAAAGCTAAAGAAATTTCAAATTTGACCTCACCAGACCAGGAAGTTCGCAGCACTTGTCTCTGGAGGCCCATGATGTGCTGCAAATAATGTCAAAGTTCTGGAGCTGGAACTGCAGGAAAAGGAGGATAAGAGAAGTTTGAATGAAACATGCCTGAATGTGGATTTATATTAATCATTTGATATAAAGGCATAAAAATCAATCCTGGCGAAGCTTTCCACACATTACTGTGATTAGAAAAAAATATTGTAAAAATGTTATTTTCAACATCCTTCTAGGTTAGTTTTGAAATAATACTAATAATGTTGGTTAAAATCACTCCTTTCTGGTTCCTGTAATTGAATGAGAACATTTGTACAATCAGCAGCAGAGAACAAAGGTAACATCATGTGCTATAATATTAACCGCAGATTTCTGGTCTCATTACTATAATTCATTTCAAACTTATCTATTCAAACTTTACATTCGGGAAGCTCAGTTCAAGATCCTCACAGAAAAGTGTCTGAATTAGCAAGAAAGAAACAAAGGGAAAATGGTTTGTATAAAATTTCCTTTAATTTTCATTGCTAAATCGCTTTAAAAGATTTGACTGCACTGCTCCTGCTTTGCTAATCAATGACTTCAATTACTGTCACACAGGAGGCATTGTTTGAGATGCTCTCTGTGACGAAGCCAATCAGATGGACTGGTGATAACAGGAGTGAAGATGATAGGCCTGACGGGGGTCAAATGAGACTCTGTGATCATATGGTGCTTGGTGACTCCTAAAACTGATGCTAAAATATTATCCTTCAGTAATCTGTGCTTTTTTTACTTAATTACCTTCCTTTAAAACTATTGATCAAAACAGTCATCGAACAAAATTACATCTTCTATCTAGACCTTGCAGCTTTTGTGCACTGCAAAAACAATCTAGAAATAAATAAGAAATTCTTATATTAAGTTTATTTCCCCTAAATTTGTGAATGTAAATAAGATGATTTGCCAAAAGAATTAGCATTTTTACCCTTAAAGTAAGAATTAAATAACATGCACTTGAAATATAACAATGCAATTGTTTTTTCTTTTTTTAAATGTAATTGTTCTTGTTCCGTTGACAAGTGTTCTTACTTAATTCCTAAATTCAGGAAGAAATGCATTTATTTTAAGAAAAAAAAATACTTATTTAGAATAACATTTTTTGCCAGCTGAACATTTTTCCTGATAATCATCTGATCTGGATAGAGGACAGGTTTAAATCTACTGCTTGAGTGTGAGTAGACCTGAGCAGTGTTTTTTGTGCACTGTGATTTCACACTGTTTACCGGTGCAGAGTTGTCCTGGTTCTGTCGAGAGCCAACCATCCTGCCCAGAACTTCCATCCCATCTGTGCTGATGTTTCCTGCAGCGTTGATCGACTTCTCTGTCACCATTTTGCAGTCGATGAACACCTTGGCGCTCGTCTTGCTGATTGCAATGTGCAGCTGCAGTGGAAAAAAAGTAAATAAAACAGAGCTTCATTAAGTGTTTAAAATAGTTTTAGAGCATCTAACACAAATACTACAATGAACCACAATTTTATACCATAATTACTAATTATTATATCTGCAAGAGGAACTTTCAGCAGCAATAAAATAGTATAAAACAAAACCTTAGGTAGGGGTTATATGGCAAAGGGAAAATTCAGCAGTTTATGTAGCAGAAGAGCTCCCTCTGCCTGTGTGCAGCTGTAAATGCAGCCTCTCTTCTTTCAGCTAATACAGGAACATCAATATAAGATCCCTTTGCATGGAATGAAAATATCAGATTTTTAAGAACAGATACTATTTAGATCAAAAACTAAATCTGTTTATGATGCCAGAATCCAGACAAGATGTGCATTTGGATTTAAGATTAAAAGGGTCTGTGCATGGCTTTGAAATTATACCTAGCACAATGAATGAATTACTTGATGTTTTAAAGAATACATTAAATACTGAGGGGAAAAAAAAACAGAATGGATGTTAGATGTAGAGAAAGAGATTTGCTAATGGAAAAAAATTAAATCACTCATGGCCCTCTTTCCTCCCAATAGTTGCTACACAGTATACATATTTATGGATGTGGTGCAAATGGGTCCATTAGAGGAACACTCGTCTGCAGCGAACAACCCCCACCCCTCCAGAAAACCACAGCGTAGAACACAACATTTGTTAGAACAGAAAAACATATGAAAGAATCTGAAGAGCTGTCCACTTCAGAATGAAACTAATATTAGCCTTTTTCAACACATCTATCCCAAAGTAAAACTAGGCCCATATAAAGAACTGATATCTATTTCTATCTTGTTGTCACTAATGTGGGGAGGGGAGCAGACAGGTCATGGTGTGTGGTAGTGATGGTGAATAGTACTGTGGACAGAGAAGCATTGTAGTGATGTAACATTGATCAATATCAATTATTAACCAATAACAGCAATACTAATATCTTCCAATAATCTTTTGTAGAGGTTGTCAATATTGGAAGGTCTTCCACCTGGCCTTCCAAATGTTACCAGCATATTTTTGGGGGAATGAAAGAGCTCTAACTAGTTGCTCTAATAATACGCTCCGTTTAAAATGACACATGCAGGTGTTGTTCTTAGCAACACATACGTTTGAGTGCTGAACTGAGAGTTAGAAATGTGACACCTTGCCAAGTTGCTGTGAGTTATTCTGTTTAATTGATGTCAAACACCCACTAATGTAATCCTGTTCAGCGCCTATAAAATGAAATGAGAACTTAAAAGGTCATGAGAGTAAAAAAATATAAAAACTCCAAAGTTAAAATAATGCAATGTTATGTATTGTAGGTGTCCATTAACTGTATTCACTGTGAATTGTATATATATATATATATATATATATATATATATATATATATATATATATATATATATATATATATATTTTTTTTTTTACTCACTTATTCTGTTATTTTATACACTTTTCTAAGGTCCACCTTGTTTTACCATTATTGCTTTAACCTTTTACTGCTGATGTAACACCACAATTTCCCTATCGTGATACAATAAAAAAAATTTCTATTCTATTCTTTTATTCTATTCTATTCTATGGGTGAATGTGTATAAAAGCCTCTTAACTTTAAAAGCCAACAGAAAGATTAACTGTTATATCTTAGGTGTATATAACTTTGGTAGGTTACTTTCAAGAGGAAAATGGAAACAACCAACTTCCAGAAAGTTTGTATGTTTAGACTGTGTAGAACGTTATTCTTCCTATGACTTGTATTGTCATCGTGCACAGACAGCATCTTAATGTTTAGGTTCATTCTGAAATGAGTGGTAAAAAATATGTTACAGACACCCTTCTATCTTTAAAGCTTGAGACATTAGTTGTAAGTATCTTAAATCTATGAAAGAGATGTATATTAATACAGATTAGTAAACTCAAAAGAAATGGTCTTTTTTTGAAGCTGACTACAGAAAATGTTGGACTAATCATTTTGGGTCCACACTCACAGTTTTTCTCTAGTTGTGAGTAAAGGTGTTCTAGTATCTTGGTTTGATTCGTGGTTGGTAGTTGGAAGGCGGGTGATGCAGAGAAAGTTTGGGGCCTAACTGTAGGAATACAGGACCTACCTGGTTTTTAATGTATATAAAAACATATGTATATAACTTAATGAATAAAAGATATAAACAGCCTGATGGAGCTCCTGAACTAACATTTTATTGAGCATCACTTTGAGGCAATAATCACTGAAACAGGTGTTTTCTGTAAAGTTCAGCAAATGTTCAGTCAGATTTCTGCACCTGTTGATAGATATGTTAGTTCACTGTTTATGAGAAAAATTCTTTAATTTGTCTCGAACTGCTTGTTTTTTTTTATTTCTTTAAAAATAAAAATTTTAAATAAAATATATAATATATAATTTATATATAATATATAATATATAATTTACCTACTCAAATCAAGGGTAAATACACTTAATTTAGGATATTTTTACTTATTTCTAGATCTTTTTTCCAGTTTGAAACTTGATATTGGATCAGAGAAGCAACACAGACAGTTTGAATGATACTAAAGAAAGCAATTCGCTTCTAAAGCTTTTGAATTCAGTTTTCTCTGGAAACGTTTCGCCCTCTGACCTATAAAGATGGTCATGAACCTTAAAACAAAATCAAATTTTCAGCTAAAACATTTTAAAAATCTCTGGAAGTCTTAGATGAATTCGGAGCAGAACAGTAACCATTTTTATTACATTATTTTAAAAGAAATCTATAATTTGTTTTCCACCTTTTAAACAGGGCCAGACACACACAAATATTCTGCTATAGTCAATCACGTCCCTGGCAACCTGTGAGACTGAGACATTTTCAACTAAGCTGAAGGGAAGGACTGTAAAAATATGAATATCCTTGTTTTGCAGCAATACAGGCCCATCACAATTTGGCAATAGATGTTCCTGATTGTAATTGGCTGAAAGACAGCGATTATTATCCTCTTGAATCTGACAGTCCAATTTCTACTATTGCCAAAAGAAGCTGTTACCTGGCAACACTGTTTTGGTTTCTAAAGGGGAGGAAAATAGGCTCATTGAAACAAACAAAATAAATATATATGAATATATACTACCTAATATGTACAGCATATAAAACAAACAGGCAAATCCTTACAAGTATAAACAAATATATGTTTGCTCTTTTTCCATCTTTGACATTAAACCAGAGAATGCAGAAATCAAAAAACTTTTTTACCCAGCAACCTTTCAGCTGGACGTTTATTCACCATCCATTGACAGAGATAAAATAAAGCTTCTGGTTGAAATCTAACCACACAGCACTTTCCTGCAGTGCACTGGGGTAGAGCTGAGCTACATTGTTCTTTATAAGGTCAATGCTGCCAAACAATTGACAAAATATGTCTTACACCCAAAAACTTATAGGTATTTTTATGAAACTGACTCAGCGTTACTATGTGGGGAAAATGTGTTTTTTTTTTTTTTTTTTTTTTCCAGGAACTGGCTGTTTTTTCTCGAAAGCCTTTTCTAAAGCTTGGCCACAGTTCTAAGAGCCTAAGAATAGCCCAACTTGAAATGTAAAGCTTTGCTCCAACCCTGCTTCATTCCATCATCTGTGCCCACTAGTGTGTGTATGTATACACTATTAAATCCATACTTGTATACACATGCAGGAAGTAGAGAAGTTTCTGAGACTTGAGTTAAATCCTGCTGAGAATGTGAAGTGTGAAGGACTAGCACCTTATCTGAGGATGCAGCTTGTGAAACATTTCCACTATTAGAACGTTGGCAAGTGTTGCGATTTTGAGCAAATAGGAGGTAAATGTTTAAAAAAAAGGCAGGTAAACTACATAAAGTAGACCATATAACCTTTAAGGTTATATGGTCTGCAATTCTGCAGATTATCACATTAGTTATCTCCTTTAATCCCTAATCACATGGCCCTATATAGATGTCGCTGTGACTTATTAGCAAGGCAATGGAGGTTCAGCTCCTCCTGGATTCTAAAATCAACTCTGACTCACTCAGACTCTAAGCGTGCACGCACATGCATGCAGAGACCGAGCAGAACAAAAGGGGAAAAGGTAAGCAGGGTAAGCTCTGTGGACAGCCAGCTGAATGAAGTGACTGCAGATCAGTCTGCGAGTTTCTCTATGATGATAACACAAGGCGACGGTGAGCAGGTTCAGACTCGGGGCATGACTCAACTCAAGTCAGCCTGTTGGGACACCAGCCACTGTTAACACTGCTCAGAAAGACTGTGGATAAAAATAGATTAAGGCAGGAGAGAGAGATGGTAGGAAAAGGAAACTGAACAGGGCAGTGAAAAAGCTAAAATGCTAAATTCCAGATGGGCTGAATAGAATAAAAAATGAGATGGTCAACCAATCACTCCTTGAGAAGGTTAGGGAGACATCTGCTGCTTTTCCTGACTGTCAGCCATCATCAACAAGCTACTTGAAACAACTTTTTTTTTGTACTTAAGCAGATATCTATGTATATGCAGCTGGCAGCAGTGGCGGTTCTAGAAAACCTTCATAAGGGCAGCCAGGCAGAGACCAACGGGGATGAGACAGGTGGCTGAAAACTAATAGGCACTAAGACCAGTTAAGGTCCATCTATATGGATAACAATGAAAAGGCAGGAAAATTAACACGAACAACATCCATATTTTACATATAAATCACTCAAAACAGATCGGGTTTTTATGAGGCCCTTAGCTAATAAGAATAGGCATATATTTATGCCTTTGTGCTTTTAAAATTTATTTATGGGTCTCCATAATGGGCAGAGCAGTTGTTTTTTTATCTTTAATTGTACACAATACTCCCTGATGACTTCAAAAACAAACTGTACCCTGAATAACATAAACAAACTAATTGTTCAAATAGCATTATTTCAGTATTAGACCTCTTTATTTTAGTATATTTTTGTTAAGAACTAATTTCTGTATTTTTGTTGACAGTTTTTTGGTTTGAAGTAGTGTAATCTACATTATGGTATTACTGCTGCCACCCTCTGGTTTAGACGGAGAGCACAGCCGGAAAGTGTTCCAATGTAGGGGTATGATAATTAATGATACAATAATTGAACTTTTATTGATCTCACATTGGATGAATTTACCTCTGCGTTTAGCCCATCCCCATGGGGAGCTATGGGCTGCCATTGTGCGGTGCCAAGGAAGCAGTATGGGGTTAAAGGTCTTGCTCGGGGACCCAAAATGGCTTTTGGGATCGAAAAAGTTACTTGCCATCTTCTCAGAGCACAAGTGCACTTCTCTAACTACTAGGAAACACTCCCCTATATTGATCCTAAAGCCATAACTTGCTTCTTGCTTTTTCTATACATAACCCACTATAAAAATCTGCATCTCTTTAGTCAGGCACTTAAATGTGATCTAACCTGCAGTTACAAAATAAACAGCAACTTTTTTATGCACTAGAACAGACTGATCAAGATACCAAAAGAATCAGATTTTAAAACAAAAAGGCCTTTCTAACCTTGTGGAAGCTCCCGAAGAAGAGTTTCTGGATCTCTGGACCTTCAAATGTAACAGTCTGAAATTCCCCTCTGTAGTCATTGTTGAAGAATGTCAGAGTTTTCCCTGAATCTGTAGCAAGACAAGAATTTGTTAAATAGATGCAAAAAAATACTCAGTAATATATTACTTATTCTTAATAGAATGAGGTCCAATGGTTTGCTGCAACATGTACTGGTTTAGGACAGAGCTTTTCCCACACCAAGCTGCGGTACAGTAAGTTAGGATGCTCCTGAAAATGCATCGTAAGGAGTTGACGATAAAGCCTGAGGGAAAAAGGTTTCTCCTCAAGAACAGTAAGCTACGGTCAGCATTCATGATCAAGGTGCAGCACTGAGATGTCCTGATGATGTCCTGTGAGATGTGGGTCTCAATGACTATGGAAGCTGGTAATCCAATCCACAGCTGCACAGCTTGACATTCAAGTCATTATCCAATTTGACTGCTATCTGATTGATTCCCAGCTCTCCACCAAGGTGCTGGGAGGTAACAAGTAACAGTCAGTTTCCTATATGTGTGAATTTCCAGCCAGTCGTGTGTTTTTTATTTTTAGGAAGACAAAGCTTTGATGCTAATTGGTGAGGCTGCTTTAAGTGGCTGCATTGGATTTCTTATGAACGAAAATGTCTGTATTAGATAAACAGCGTTTTGTTAAAGGTCTTACTTTTGTGTTTCCTCTTTCCTTTTATATTTTTCCCCTCTCTTGGATGCAAAGTTTAATTACTTACTGTCCAGGATGACCCCAGTTTGCGGATCGTTGTTCTTATTTAAGATCTCCCAGATTGCAAAGGGCTCCTTTGGGGTATCGGGCAGAACTCTAAACAGCAGGGTTATGGTGTAGTCAGAGGGAAGCCCCTCAGGATGGATAAACCTGTGGGTCAAAGGAAATACAAGTCAGATCATCTATGAGGTGAAGACCTAAATATAGCAAGCATGTTGCGTTGTTCAGTCTGCGGTGCTGATCAAGCTCTTCTACCTGGTTGGCTGTTCCATCAGAGCGTTGCTGTGCAGATGGAAACAGGGGAATGCATTGAAGGTGCCAGGAACCATAGAAACACCAGAGATGCTGTTGTACTTGTTTTCAACCAGTCCAAACAGCTCCATCATACGGAAACCTAGAGGCAGATGGGAAGGGACATCAGAACAGAAAATCAGAGCAGGAAACCCAGAGAAGATTAAAAGCACAAAAACATTTAACTTAGTTCTCTCTCACTCAAGTTCAATCTAAAAGATTGAAAAACCGAGAGGTTGAGTGTTAACATGATCATTCTCTGCCATCCCTCCTACATCCTACCAGAACCTCTGCTTATACTCCTTCACTAATGCACCAATCAACTGACTTTTCCTCCATTAATACTGCTTCTGTTGAATACCTTGACAGTATGGTTAATTCATAAGTTCAAAAGTTAAATAAGTAGAATTTGATAAATTAAACAATCAAATAAATACAGCACAGTTAGAGTTTAAATGATTGTTTTAAACCCAAAGGGGATTTGTTTTACTTGTTAAAATATGTGATACTAGTTTGACTGCAGAAGAATTTCTCCACTAGAGGGTGCAGGTGCCATACGTGAGCAAGGTTGTTTTTTTCTTGTAATGCACAGCGAAGAAGAAATAAAGCTCTAGAAAAAATGCAGTTCTATGTGACTGTTGTTGATGCCACAGTTAAAAAGTAAAGTTGCATAAAACTACATTGAATCTGCAGTCGATTTTTTTCAGCACGATGGGATGTTTTCAGCTAAATCCACCACAGCGTCCCTTTGCAGAACTGTAAAAGTCTAAACCATTTTAGATGAGCCTCCCTAGCTACTAATCAGTTCAACTTTCTGCTAGTTATGATCATTTTGATTCAATCAAATTAAAATACTAACATCTTCAGCTCCAACGTCTTACATTTCTTAAATCCCTGAGTTTTATTGTCCCAATGTCTCCAAACTATACAACAAACCAAACTTCACAAACTATTAATGGTGGTCAGGGGGCCCAAAGGAGGCCATGTATGGCAGCGTTGCCTCTTTCAGTGAGTCTGCTGTACAATGTACTGTAGCTAACCATCATCAGGGTGTTAACATATAAATGGATGAAAGACTGACTGCAGTGTAAAGTGCTTTAAAGTCCCTGACTTAAACAGTTGCTATATAAGTAGAGGCCATTTACCAGTTGTCCAAATGTGAACCTTCTATTAAACCTTTACAGTTTCTGTCATAAATCATTCTGACATTTCTCTCCATCCACTTCACAGGTACTTATTCTTGTCAAACTTCAGCACCTCTAGTAATTACAGCTTTTTTTCTCTTGTCTACATACCAGTATCCTGCCCTCCTTCTACCATACTCTTATTTTCTTCTCAGGAAGTACATATGTTCTCTCCAGAGCATCCATCCATCTCTACAGACTCTCCTCCTCCTGCTAAAGATCATAGAGGTGTCTGCTGACATCAACCTAAAAGACTTCTGCCTGACCTTATCAGTTAACCTGTCCATCACCACTGCAAACAAAACAATAATCCTTTTCACTATTCTAGCTATCCATCTTTTACAAATCATCCCTGACATTTATCTTCATTAACTCTACAGGTGACTGAACTCGTCCAACTTGAGTATTTCTACTCCCTTCAGATTCACTCTTCGACTTCCTCTCTGTAGCTCAAAGGAGTAAATTGTTTTGCTTCTCCTGATGTTCACCTTCACTATCTAGACCATATTTCTACGCTTCCAGACTCCCTTCCCTCTGCTTCCTATTCTCCTTACAGATCACAGCACAGCCTGAAAACATTCTACTAAAACCCTTTTTGTATAATCGCTGTGACTCAAACCACATACCTCCCATAAATGGTAAATTTACTGCCTCTATTTAGTGCATTTCTACTCATAAGAGCAACTAACCAGAACCGCATTCACCCATTTCCTCTCTCAAACCCTCACGCAGATACCCAGAGCAGACGAACTGAGGTTAAATGGGGCACACTTTGAAAGAAGAGGAAGCTGTTAATGATCCCACAAGTATCTGATTTTAAGATTCTGTAGTTCTCTAACCACCGAGACAAAGTCAATCTACCCTCAACCACTCTCACACATATAACCCTCCTGCGTTTGACTTCCTCATTCAGTGACACAAATCCCTCCCCATAACCATATTACACTATGCCTCTTTAAATTCAAGAAAACAGAGCAGGTCCTTCATTTCTCTATACTCTCTGTACAAAAGGATTTTCAAATTAGGCATCACAGCTGTGTTCGTCTGCTTAAAACCACTTTCCCTCTAAGAGCTCATCATCTTCTGAGCCGAGCTTCAAAAACTCTTCTTATATCTTCTGGAAATGACTCAGTAGGTTTATTTCAAACATGGATGAAACACTATTAATTTCCCAATAAGCACCAAAAAATCTGTTAAAAATTCTTAAAAATTCTAAAGTTTTAAAATTTGGCCTTTAAAACACTGCAAGGAGTTAAATTTTAACATAAAGCTCAGATATGGTGGAAAGTCATATCCTATTATATTTACCTGGCATTGTGCTGCCACTCATTGGTATTGAAGGACAAGCTGTTGTGGGTGAAAATAAAAAGAAAGGTTACATGGGGTTTATCTAGAAAAACCAAAGCTTTGCTTTTAAAGGTTCCTACTTGCGGTGGCCGCCTCGCAGACAAAGGTCACCAGCTTCTCCTCGATCCTCTGAAAGGCATCCAGGTCGTCGACAAAGAAGACGTGCCTGTCGCTCGGTTTACTGGCTATGCTCACCAGCTCTCCGTAGTCAGCGTCAGCGAAGCCGATAGCAAATACGATGTAACCTTTACATGGTGGCAGAGCAAAAAACAAACACTTCATCTTCAGAAACTGGAATTTACAGAAATTACAAATACATGTAGTAGTTTAAGTAAACCAGGATTAAATTGGGGAATATAAGAGTTTTAAAATAATAATCTAATGTTTCTATCAAAGATGAATGATAACTCATTATTTCAACTTTTACCACAGGATATTTGCTGGTGACTTTCTGGTCACTAATAGTGCTGATGCGCTGCAAAGAAACTAACTATAGAAGTTTAGTAATTCATGTTGTTAGAGGATGCAGAAAAAAAACTGCCAAATAGAGCAAAAATAATAAAACTAAATAAGGGCTATATCTTATCATTTTATATATAACATGGGACAAAAAGCTATTCAAGGCTCTAGAAACTCTAATCTAGAAGATAAATATTGTGATCTCAATACATCTGTACACCTTGATGTTTAAATCATTGTTGATGTAAACCTGTACATGAAAATTTTAAATTTATCTAAGGGACCAATTAGTTAGAATTTTTATGCCAATATGTGTTGCCATAGAAGGGGCGAGGATTTGTTCTACGGGCACTGGCCCCTGCTATGGAACCTGTCTAGAGCCGCCCATGGATGTAGAAGTGTAAGAATACATTAAGTGTGTGTTAAACTTAAGTTAAAGCCAAAAAGAAACATAAAGTCACTGGCCTGACAGGCTCCCAACATCCCATTCAAACAGACAGCCTAAAGGATTAACACTAAAGCTCCAGTTGCATATTTGACAAACTTCTGACCTGCCATCTGCATCTCTTTGGAAACTTTATTGACATCATCCTGTGATCGACCGTCGGTAAGAACCACAAGGACGTTGGGGATCCCTCTTCTCACTCCTCCCTCAGCAGTGAAGATGTTTTCCTTCACATGCTGGATGGCTCGACCTGGTTTAACAGAAAAAAAAACTTCAAATATGCTCAATAACCAAATTATAGGGCTCTAACCAATGTGGATAAAAGGATGAATGTCAGAAGGTATCAGTGTTTTCATTCATGTCTTTTCCCATTCCACAGAACCGAAAAAAAGAAAAAATCTGTTCATTATTTTCCTTGCAGGAAGAAAAAAGGCTTTAAGCCAGTTTAGGTCTAAAAAGTGAATAGTAGAGCAGCTTGTTTGCAGAAAACAGATATTGATTTATGTCCCCCTGCAGGTATATTAACAATCCTGCTAAAATAATTTGTGAACTGTGAAGAAAAGTTACACCAGGAAAGAAAATCTGCATTACAAATTTAAATGGCGGCATGAGTTACAGAAGATTGCTGATTATGGATCAGTGCTGCTAAATAAATGACTGCCTTGGAGGGTTCATCTTTCCGCCAGGAGTCAGATTAACCCCTCCCCACATGCCAATGTTGCCCTGAGGGTTTAAGATTTTAATTTGGCGCCAGTTAAATTGCTATGTCTCAGATGTTTGTGGCAGCAACCTTTGAAGTTTCATATGCTGCTTGCACTGTTTCTGGACTAGAAAGCAGATGCAAAACGTCAGCGAGTCACCACTGAAGTTAACTTCTAAAAAGAAGCTGTCAGTGAAAGCATCATTTTAGGCTTTTCCAGCTGATAATTATCTCCAAACTGAAACTTTTACTCTAATGACTGGTCCTGGGAAGTGATGCATGAGACAATGGTTCCAAAAATTAAAAGAGCTTAATTGGAGGGAACCAGAGAGGAGCCTGCTTGGAAGTTGTCAGTGGCTGGCAGAAGTCTATTAGAAGGTCAAGAGTAAAGTTTTCCAAAGCTATAGCCCATCAAGGTAACCTCAAAACGGCACTGAAAAGCAGTGCAACAGGTTGCATAAACACAAAGATGTCAAAATGAAACTTCACACAAAAAATTCAGACATAGAAATATGAAACTGGTTGTGGAAATCTGCACCATTCCACAGTAAAGGTATGAGTGCACACTCTGGTTTCTCTTCATCTAAAGAAGCAATCATTTAACATTTTTGCATTGTGGATGCAAATAAACACAGTATATACTGATAAATTATGAAGAATGAAGAAATCAACTTTGTCATTACATTTTTCACAAGTATAAAGCAATGAAATAAACTCTCTGCATTTAACCCATCCCCTTGTGAAGCAGTGTAGGGGTTGAGGGTCTTGCTAAGGGGCTAAGAGTGGCAGTTCGTAGGAGTGTGGCTTTTACTCAGAACCTCTGGGATCCAAGCGCAATGCCCTAACCATTAGGCTGCAATCCCAAATTCTATAGTGAGAAAATAATAGATCTGTATATGCAAGAAATAATTATCTATTTGCATATTTATGCAATGTAATTATGTTAATGTTTATTTATGCAATGTAATCATGTTTTACACATAATCATGGATTAAGTGTAAAACAGTTTGAGACGTCTGGGTTTGTTGGTTTGTATGTAATCAGCTTTGTTGATTTAGCCATATACTATAGACTGTTCTAGTATTAAGATCATTTATAGAGGGATTCTGGCATCTAGAATTTATAGAAAAGGTTATTTGAACATGAAAGTTGCTTTTATTGTTCTTTACATAGGCAATCACTGAATGTATAGTAAAAAGAATTTAAATAAATGATGTAAATATCTAATTACACTGTAGTGCATCTTGGTCAGGTTTTTTTTGTTTTGCTGTCATCTCTCAAAATACCTAATTTTTATTTCAACAACTGTCTTGATTGTTCATTTTAACACCAACATAGATAAAATAATGGTAAAAGCTTTTATTCGCTTAAAGGTTTCATTAATCTTTTCTTTGATATTTCCAGAAGATAATTAAATGACAAACAACAGAGATTCTCCTTAGGGAATGACTGGATACTCTTAATTGCACTGAGCATTGTGAATGAATAGATAATTTTGCTCCAAACTGTAACTTTCTGATTAAAAAAAGAAATAAATAACTGATGCATTCCAGAGTGATATTACCAGCAGGGGAATTCCTTTGCAGCAGGGATGCTGTAACAAATCTGCTCTCTGCGATCTCATTTCTGTTTTGCAAACACTGATTAAAGACTAGAGCTGTCTCCAATCCCCCACAGGCTTCGTTTCAGCTCGCACACTTCTACATACTTATACTTAACACTTTGAAAACGCGTTAGTATAGATGTTATACATACATAAAAGTATGTTGATATAAAACATAAGAGTACATAGAAGAGCCAAAGAGATAACTGTGATTTATTTTAGTTTTCAGAACTTACGGTAATTATTCTGCCCCTAAGCAGCCCCTCCATTTTTCTTTTTTCAGAACCCACCTGTTTTAGTGTTTCCTCCTTTGTAGGAGATCCTGTTGATGGCATCAAGCAGACGCTCTTTGTCACTGTAGGAGTTCAACTTGAACTCAGTCCGAGCGTCATCACTGAACTGGGCTATAGCAACCTGCAAGGTCAGAATAGATCCATCAGTAAGTTTCATCTCACACATTCTAGGTTCAATTCAAATCTGTCTGTAAAGATAAGACTGACAAAACTTTATCTTAAAAAATGTCCAAGCCTTATTATTTAACAGAAATGAACCTCTCCAAAAAAACAAGAGAAAAAGCTCCTTCTAAGTTATAACACATCCCCATATATGGATTAAGCATTCATCCATCTATTGCACAGATGGTTTTTAGAACCCTGGATCACATTTTCAAGCAAAGGACAACATTACTTAAGCCCCATATTTAACCATATGTACTGCAGTTGGTGGAATAGGATATATTTGGGGTGAAAATAATTCATGTATGTATTAAACATGGATGGGGGATCCGGAGTCGACAAGTAATCTCTATATCAAGTCTTTTTTTCAGCCCAGAAGCTGAGCCAGGTGAGTGGAATCTGCACAAGTTGGTTCACTCTGCAGATTGGAATAACCTGGTTCAGCAGCTGTGCAGAACAAACACATGACATAGACGTGACTTGTTGGCTCTAGATCCCCCATCTCTAATATCAAGTATATGCAAATATGGACATTTTTTCAAACAAGATTATCTGAAAACTCTTATAAAGTGAAGCATCATGGAAGAAAGCTCTCCTGGTCTGCTCTGGTTTCAGCTCGGTGTATATTTCTGATAGACTTATTTCAAAACAGACGCTTTGAAGTTTAATCTTACAGGATTAGAGGAATAATTTATACAGGACTTTTATAATGCCTTTGCTATTATTTCTATTTCTAAAATTAATATTTTCCGCAAAACTTTGGTAAAACCTTAAAATTTTGTGTTCTGTTGTGTTTTCCATACTTATTGGCACATTCTAGTAAAGAGGCTCTAGTGGATTAAGGTAAAAATTATAACAATTAAGAGAGTTAATAAAATTCTATAAAACTATAAACTATAAAATTCAAGAAAAACTTCAGTTAGGATCACTGTAGAGGTAGCTGAAGCACAGTGCTGATTTATTTGGCATTTGAAAGCCACAAAAAATAATTTTACATTCTATCTTCTTTAAACAAAGCTGGTATAAAAAATATTTTACTTTGGATTAAATAAGCTTGCTTTATGCATTTATTTCAACATAGATTGATTTCATTCTCTTTAAGATCTTTGCTTTGGCACGTTTTCCTTTTCTCCCAGTATCCATATTTAAATAAGATTATAAGATCTTTTAATTATCTTCTGTGATTTTGTATTGTAAGCCTTAGAAAAGCCCTCCCTTTCCTTGGAAAAATATAAATGTATTTGTATGCTGTAATATTCAGTTTTATTGGCTCGCACCGCAGTCATTACAGACACAATAAGCTGCTAACTAAAACCCCCTTCATTAGTTTGCCTCCTCTGAAATGACAGTAAAACAACATTTCCATACGCTGGATGAGAAAACGTGGAGCCTAAAGCAAAGTGTGAGCTGTTTCATTGGACAAACAGATAGCTATATCCACTCTCTTATCAGCAATTTTACACCCATTTGTTTCATATTATCATAACTTTTTTGCTAAGCTTTGTGCTTTTTTCTATTCTTCTGCGTTTTGCTAAAGGGAATTTTCTCATGTGCAAATGATGAAGGATAGTTTTCCCAATTTGTCCTTCAGTAGCAGTATCTCTGCCTCTTGGACAAATACAGAGGCAACAGTTAATGAGACAAATTCAAATCTGTTTGCTTTCACCGCTTTGGTAACAATATGGATTGTTAGCAGAGTGAAGCTGAAATGTGGATGAAATACAGCAAATAATGGGATGAAGGCTGGATTTAACTCAGAGCGAGCATATTTAATAGGCTTCAAGGAGGGGAAGAATGGATTGTTTATGTTGATTAAATGTGGCATAAATTCATGTTTTTTAATCTACTTCTAGATGAAGTATAAAATATATATTTTGTTCCACTGATGGAATGTAGTTCAAGTCCAGAAATAATGTTTGGGAAAAAAAATCTTTTACTAATAATATTTTTTTCAGTTTTAGTGACGGTCGAGGGCTGATTCCTCTCTGAGTTACCTGTGTGCCGTCTGGGCCGATGCGGTCAAGAGCTCCAACGGTGCTGTACAGGAAACGGATGATCTTCAGGAAGTTCTCATCGCCGATACTCCAGGAACCATCGACTAAAAAGACCAGGTCTGCTTTGGCTGCCTTGCAAACTGGGAGATAAAAAAAGGAAAACATTTTATTCAAGATGGTTTTACTATAGATATTTAACATTTTGGGGCATAAACCTGACTTCAAAGCAACAAAGCCTTTGATAACCTTTGGTAAGGCTTTTTCTTTGTAATGTCAATAAAAATAATTATTGCAGAGCAATAATTAGTTTAAAATGATCTGTGTTTTTGCATGTTTTATTCTGTTATTTTTATGATTAAAACAGAACTTAAAGACGCAACTTTTCCCAAAACCCAGACTGATTCTGTCCTCAGGAGCTGCAGAATTATTCACAGTCTATAAACTGAGTAAATATGCTTAAAAAAGGAGCATGTTGCTTTGTGTTCTGAGAAGAAACATCTAGAATACTTTCCAGACATTGACATTTGAAATCTTTGTTAGCATAGATCTTAGCATGAAGTTGAAGTAGGAGGATATAATTGGAACAAAAAGCCCCATGTTTGCACTTACTGTTTAATACATCTTATTGTTCAAAAGCAACCTCAGAAATGTGTTAAAAATGCAATTTCATGCCCAATAGTTCATCACCAAAAATATTCACACAAATAACTCCTTATAAAAAGGAAGCAAACAATAAGACATTTAATCTAACCCCTTTGGAGTCTAAGCTTTATTTCTTCTCAGGAAATCTGTTAATTTAAATTTCAATTCTAAAACTGATAAATATATGGAAATATCTGTCCTTAAATAGATTAGATTATTTATTACAAAATTCCAACCACAGCTCTGCTGTTGGTTCATTAAATCAAATAATCCACTCATTCAGTCGCCTGTGTTTGTTTCATGTCCATTTAAGTCCGTTCAAGTCGATGCAGTTTTTGATGGGAACTAATTAATCTTTGTTTTATTCAGATCAGGTCCGGTTCTGGTTGTGTTCCCCTTGGACAGCATCTATCTTTTGTGAAAATTAATCGAGGAGCTTCAGATTCAGGAAGGGTTTTCTCCAGTTCTGCTCTGCATTCAGATTGCATTCTGCAGTAGTTTAATAGGGTCAGCATTAAGGCTAGATTTCAGGTCCAATATGCTCTTCTGGGAATGTTGTTTTAAAACGTGAAATATGAATAACAATTCATCCTGGTGTGTAGGTGGTGAGAGTAAATAATGGGAAAAATATTAAAATAAAAGCATATTTACATGAAATGTGTGGGATTTAATCATGCAGCGTTTGGATGGACCTCGACAATCAGGAAGGGTTAGGTGATATTAAAGCTATGCCCATTAAATTAAACCCTGAGGTTTATTAAATTAAAAAAGCAGAAAAAAGGGTCAAATATTAATATCTGAAACAAAACAATGGCTTTTTGGAAAGACTATCAACTCCATAAAACATAAAAAAAAGCATTGTTTAATATATTTTCTGAGATATATTGCTAATCTTATCTATCTGTTCCTAATGAATATGTAAGAGCTGTGATTAGAGTTATAGAGAATGAGGTCAGTAACCTTTTTTAAAACCTTTTGAGAGTTATTTAATACATTAGCTTAAAATGACTGATTTGGAATATTTAGAAAAAAATATATTTAGCTCTTCATTCCCACATTGTGCTTTTAAAAACAATGTAAGGCTGCGAATGAAGACAATTTAATAATTTAATATCAGTAAAAAGTTAAAACTCCAAAACAAAGTCACAACCTGGTTGCGGTACACATAGGAAACTTAAATAGTCACTAAATCCCTAACCAACTTTTTATTCCTAATACAGATTAGCTGCATAAATTGGGTCTCAATGGGTTTATCTTTACGCTATGTGACATTTTTATGTAAAGTTGACAAATTATCCTAAAAGTGTCTTGGTGCTGCCATCTGTGGGATGAAATGTAGCTACTGCAGTTAATGGTTAACTGATGAAACTATATACTTGTAAACAGCTTGGTAAATGTTTATGTTAGAGCCCTGTGCTTTGGTATAATGGTGTCATTTCATTAACCTACGAACTTTCATCTGGGATGTCAAAGTAATGTAATCTTTGAGGAGATGGCTACAAAAGTCCTGCTTGTAAATGCTCATATTCTCATTCTCTCCATTGGTCAGACATGGCCACTGTTCCAAACTTACACTGCTCATTGGATCAAATTGAAACTTTATGTTTTTCCAACTTAAAACATTTATTTTATTTGTGGCAAGTAATTTCACTTTACCTGGAATTCAAAATTTCTTATCATAGAAAAAAATCAACTGAAACAAATAGTTTCCAAGTAAATGTCTACTTCAAGTCAAAGGTAATAGTTACACTACAAGGTTTATCCTTCCACATCCAAATCGGTGTGGCCAGCACTAGAACACCATGAGCAAGGTTGCCGATACAACTAATGCAGTCTACTCAGTCTCATTGTAGAAATGTTTATGATGTGCAGGCATTGTTGTCATTAAATTAAATACCTCAGGTATCGTATGGATGTTTTTAAGAACTCTAAGGCACTCCAGGTAGCTTGTTAGAAAACAATAACAGAATACAACTAATGATTTTTACAATAAAAAAAAAAAACAAAGGTCCAGCTGTAAGTTATCATGAATTTTAAACCCTGTCTGGGGTCAATATAATTGGACCAAATAATTAAATACAATTTAACATTTTTGTCACTACTTTATTCCAAAGTAAATTTATACTGTTATGTAATTAATTTTTTTTCCTAATTGATAAATGTATTAATAATAAAGCATAAAACTTGTTTCTGATCCGTTATAACCCACAGTTTCACTTTGCATAAATGCAGTTTCTTTCTTTGTCTGAAGGTAAGAATATATTTCTAATAAATCTAAACGGATGCTTTCAACCATCTAATAAATTTACTTTATGTGCGACAAATTAAAGCAATTTTTTTAGTTGATCCAAAGTATCCATTTTTTTCAGTGTAGAAAGACAGTTTGATGTGGCAAGCTGACATCCAGGCACAGGGTAGCATTAAACCATCACTCAGACACACGTCTCTGTGGCGAGTCAGGTGTTGGAATTACAAACACTGATCAAAGTGTTTTAAGGTGAGCATTTTAGTAGCTATTAGTCAGAAACAGATTTTCTTTAAGTACTTCAATCATTTACTCATCAAATCCCCTCTACTTTTCCTTTATCTGACCACATCCCTGCCTTACCCTATGGCTGTATTTCTTGGCACAGTCCATTTTATTGGCATAATTTGTAAAGGGATGGGTTTATGCTATTATATCCTGCTTATTACACTTTAAAGCCACAAACAAAGCTTAACGAGGGGCACAAGGGTATTCAAATCTATTGACAAACAGAAAAGAATTATCTCTTACCCCTAATTTTAGAACCAGAATAAACAATCATATCCTGCAATTAAAGAAAATTATTACAGAAATCTGATTTAACCATGCCTTCTTAAAATTTTCAATCAACCACATGATGCCTGTCAGACAAAACAGTAGAAAAAAAACTTCTCTCTGGATAAATAGAATAAATCTAAAGCTGATAAATAAATATATTTAAATACTCCTGTTATCTAACCAAAGAGTATTAAAAGCAACATCATACACCATGAACCTGAAAGCATGATGGGAATTAAATATATTTGACCAGTGAACCTCGTCTAAAGGAGAATGCCTGAATTTTAGTTGCATTGTAAATGTTGTTCTCTTTAAAGAAACAGGAGACTGACATTGCTTTACAGTTTTTATAATGTTTTTTTAATTGAAAATTATTTTTTTTCTTTTCCTAATGAGGACGCTGCTGTATAAACAACATTTTATGAGACAGTAAACAAGACTGATGCTGTTATCTTCTTCCCTCGCATAAAAGAGCTAATGGTACACTGGGAACTGATGATTCAGTGATGACAGATGTGAGGAATTTGAATTATATGTTCTATGAAATTAAAAGTTATAAAACAGTAAAGACTCACGAGGCGCACATTCAAAGGATTATTTTCATCTCCAGTCTCCAATTATCTGTTTGCATTTATGAACCCTGAAATTGAAAACGATTACTACAGTTTGAGATATATATTTTAAATACTGCCAATGTCAGAGGCTCTCAGGACTACGTGTGTGTAGGGGGAAGCTACTTTCTCTTAAAAATATGCAGTATCATTACAGACTAAGAGTAGACAGCTTCCACAATATATATATTTCACATATTGATTCCTGCATTTTTGAAGAATCTGTGGCCTAGCATATAAACTCCTCAAAAAAGGAGTCAGAAAAAAGTCATAACTTAGAATTGATTTACATAATTTCATTTTTCCTGCTGTCTGTATATACCTATCTAGGTATTATCTTTAGCAAAAAATATTTCAACGTTGCTTTCAGCTGCTTCAATAAACTCTGCTTAAGAAGGTCAACTCAGTTTACTAATCAACTGAGTTGGGATCACATACAGTTTATAGGGTGGCTGATTACATAACGGTTAGATTCATGAAGTCATATTAAGCACACTATAAATAAAGATAAATTAGTGCAATATTTGCAGTTTTTGACATTTTTACTGTGGAGTTTATGTAGATTTGTTTTGCTAAAGTCTTGAGTTAAGTCTCTGATCTCTTCCTCTTATCTGAAAACTTAAACTGACGCCTTTCAGCTCATTATGGGGGATCCCAAGGTCTATCCAGAGCAGATAGGATATATAGGCCCTCCAGCAAGTGCTGGGTCTTCACTGGGTTTCTTTGCCAGGGGACTTGTCTGAATGAAAACCTCCAAAGAGATTAGAAGTCAAAGTAAGGTCAACATATTTCTTTGGATATACTGTAGAGTAGCAGGCTTTCCACTTTGAGGTCCCTTTTGGATTGTGGATCTCCATTCAGGACAAAGCAGTTTTTGGCTTCTTGTGCCCAGGATGTGAATTTTTTTATTATGATCCATCTTATGATCCCAGTTTAGGTGTGAAACATAAGAAAAAAGAAAGCTTTCATTTTTGACTCAACCTTTTGCTTCATAAAAGACCGGAGACTTATCTGTCTGTCCATCTCCTGCAGCCTTCTACTATCACACATAAAAAAAGACACCAAATTCCTTAAAAGCCCTCTACTTAAGGCATAGACTGACCCCCAACCAAGAGTGTAGTCCTCAATTATTGTAGTAGAGAACCATGTCATCAGAGTTAAAGGAGTTTACGATCATCCTGTCTACAGTATTTCACATTCAGCAGTAACCAGTAGAAGCCCTGGATGAAAAAATATGCCTAAATGCAAAGAACACATCTAATTTACTCAAAGGTCAGATATCTGTTGGTCAAGACTGCTTTAAATAGGAAACCGCCTCCTTGGAAGCAAAAGAAAGAAAGACGATGATGTAATACAAAATAAAACTTAAACACTAGAGTCTTAGCCCCACGGCCATCTCATATTTCATTTTCATCTCAGTAAGACAAAGAGCTGTTTAACACAGAAAGGGACATTTCATAGCTTACCACTTTGTCAAAAATGGTAAATAACCTGTACTTATATGGTGATTTTTTTTTTACGTCAGGAGACTTTACAAAGCACTTTACACTACATTCAGTCATTCACAAACTACATGTTAGCCCCAGCTGTCCTGGGGCTTACTGAAAGAAGCCAGTATTTCAGGCTTTATTGAACCTTCCTGCTTCCAGTCATCAGTACCAGATTATTCAAGCCTTTGGTGAGAGTTCTCTAGCGTACCTGATTGTGTTCTGATTGCCTGATCCTAACCTATTTGCGTTTGGACCTCTGAGCCTGCCTGTTCCTGTTCTGATCTGTTTGCCTGACCTGTCTTCTGACTCCTGCTGGATTCTGCCTGTTGACAACCCTGGATCTACTTCCTGACACCGACCTGGATTCCCTTCGGTACTTCTTCTTCCTGACACCGACCTGGATTTCCCTTCTGTACCTCTTCAGATATCTAATGTTCTGGCCCGGTCTCCTGTGGACCTCTTAGAAACCGACTCTGGTTTTGGATTGTCCTGCCTTCCTTCGCCTGCTTTGATCTGATCTCCTGTCAGTTCTGCTGTCTTTAAGACTTCCATATCTGGATCTCTCTCTGGGCAGCGTTCGTCTCTTTGTACTGCCCTTGCCATTATACTGCAATTTAATTCTTCCTCAGGGCACAGACTGAACTTTAAGACAAGAAGTTCCTGCCTTAGACGCCCTGCCATCGCCAATCTGTAGTTTTTAAATAAACGCAGGGAAACTCCTGCATCTGACACCACTGTCGGCCAAAAAAAGTTTCTGAAGTAATTTTCTACAGGCTGACCCTCTTTTTGGTGTTTAGTTTATAATTCATGATTTTTCATGGGAAACAACTGATCCAAATGAGGATTAAAAACACCATAAGCAATTATGGAAAAAATGGCAATGTAGTCTTGTGTTTTGAAATTATTAACTGCTAAAGGGTGTATATTAGTAGCAACCTCTGCATAAAACCATAATAATCTAACAGCATTTATGAAGATGCTAAAAAATTTATAAAAACTAAAGGCTATTTACATCTACTACACCCTCACTTAAGTAAAAGAAAAGGCACAGCGCTTAATGTATCAAGCATTCCGTCAGACAAGTAGGCCAAAATGAGTTCTCACCTTCCTTAGCAGCAGGAATTGTAGGTGGTGGGGTGGTGGTTGGGGGCTTGACTGGTGCTGCTGTTGGGATCGGTACTGTGTAAAGAGAGAAACATAAGAATATCTTAAAAACCTGCAATTTAAGACTCCGGTCATTATAAAGCAATATGCCAAATGGCGTTACAAATCAGTTTCACTTTCATTAAAAAAAACTACATGAGCTGATGAAAGGTTCCAAACCTCAGACAGCTCACATATGTATATAAATAGTCATACAGAAAGTGTAAAATAACTACAAGCAGCTGCAAGATGTGAGCTCCTGTATAATTTGGTGCAGTGATCATAGTGTTAACTCCAGGCATGAGCCAAAGCCTGCTGTCTCTGGCCTTGGCCTCTTAGCATGGGTCTGTGTGAGTGTTTACTACTCCTCCTCTTAAAGATAAACCACATTCAGACATGATGCTTTCAGGGCTGTTTAGTCAGTAAATCAGCTACCTGAGGATTCGAATCACTTGTGATGGCAGGTAGGGAGCGTTCAGTAGCGGCTGCCTGCAGCGATGGGGATAGTCATTTGAGGAAAAGCTCAAGCTTTCATTTGCATCAAAACAAAGCCATAAATCATCCAAGAGGCTCTCTGTAGAGCCACAGTGTGTCTGTGAGCAGCCTAAAGCAAACAAATATCTGTTTTTCAGATATTTTTTGTTGCCTCTTTTACCCCTTTGTTTTTTTCCCCCTACTGTTATACTGAGCATTTCCAGATCTACAGTAGCAATCTTTCTGTCTTTTATTTGTGCTTATTCTATGAAAATCTAAACTAGACATAAGTAAATTAATTGTTTGCTGTTCAGATTTCACAAATCACAGAATCCAACCAAAAGCAAACATGCAGAAATGTAACTCTGCATGAATTAACTGAAATGTGCAAATTAACTTGCTAATAATTGCACTCCATGAACATTTAAATGCAGCATTAATTTGTTTTTGTAATGAAAAAAATTGAATGTTATATATGCGAACAATATAAAAAATAGTGTAGTTTTTTTTATGCATATATGAGTGATTTTATTTATGGTCGATATCCTTGACTTTGATATTTGGCCAATTGACAGCATTTGCAGAGCCTAGGAAGTTAAATGGGGGGCATACAATGGCATACTTTGTTTGTGGGAATACTAACAGTATAATATATAATATGATTCAGTTAAAATGTGCAGAGGCTAATGGGGCCATTGTTTCCTCTTCCCCTGCCAGGCTTATGCTGGCACTCATTTTTGTCACACAATAAAATCTGTGCCCTCCTTTAATTACCATAGGAGCATTTTTATGGTCTTAAAAACATTTGGGGGTTTAGCCAAACTTTCTCTTCTATAATTCTTATCTTAGAAAGTGCCCTTTACAGTCAGAAGTAATTCTTTAGATCCACTGTTCATACGTCACACAGTGCAGCACTGACAACATTTTGTTCAACAAACATCTGGCCCATCACAGTTTCAGTGAGCAAATTATGCTGGTTCTGGAGAATTAACAAACATATCACCTTTTCTTTAGCCATGCAATCCATTGAAGCCAAGAGTATTAAGGGCTGCTCCTTTTCCCTAGGTGAACAGTAGGTAATCAATGCTCTATCACTATAGGGTTCATCCTTTAAGCCTACTTCTAGTGAGCTGAAGGCAGAACAGAATGCAGTCTATCTGCATCCGTTCAGACCACAAACACAGGACAAATATAGTCAGCCCTCAGCTCATGGAAACATGCTTAAAGTCGCCCCGCTCGTTCATTTAAACTGGAGGGGAAATAATCTCTGGTCAGTGCAGAGGATGAGATCACATAACCAATAGTATGAATAGTAATGACAAACGTAACAAACTGTAACAGTAGAAGAGCAAGAGAATAGAAACAAGTGGATAAAAATCAATTCCTGGATCAGTTGCAATGACTCAACGTAACAAGCCCTGCACGCCTTAAGGACCGCTCCAAATGTAGATAAACTCTGACAACCTGAGGCTTCTTCAGTCATTTTAAAGATGTTCACACTAACAGAAAATGTCATTTCTCTTCTCCTTTGCCCGCATCCTCTCCTTATAGAGATCATATCCAGCATGACTGCACTACTGGAAAAATATGCCTGCCTTTAGAATGTGCAGAATACTATCAGACAACCAATGAGTAAACTTATTTGTTGCTTTAGTGAATCATATGCATCATTAATGTGTATCCTGTCCTCATAGACTAAATGGCTTAGCACTGAAATATTTGTATTAGAGATGAATATATATATGAATATTGGGCAGCAGCAGGTGTTTTTTGCTTTTTGCGAGACAGAGAGAAAAAGTGGTGAAAGTCTGGTGTTGTCCCCTTGGTATTTCTCAGTACAGGTTTCTTCCACCAGAGAGCGTGCCTATAAGCTTGCTGCTGGGCAGCATTTCTTTTTGTATGGTAACATCTAGCCCAACTAGAGTACTAAGTTATTCCCAGTAAGTCTGTAGTAAGTCTACCTCCTTAAGGTATATTTCCTAGAACCTCTCCTTTGTAGATTAAGCTGGACTACCAAGTCATTCCTTATACCATTTGTGTCCCTCCTGGATTAATACAGTAGTTCCTCTTGCGCAGCCTTGCTGTCCAGCACTATCAAGCTTAAATGTCTCTTGGTCCAACCTGCCCTGGTGGAGAACCTTTCTTGTTTCCATGGATCTCCTATTCACAACCACAGACTCCACTCACCTCTCCCCGCTAAACAACCAAGCATGCTCTAAAAGTAAGACAACTACTTGTTGTTTTATTTACCCCATACAATCCCAATAACTGTTTCCAGAGCTTCTGATTATCAGCAGTAGATAACCAGTATAGAAGTCTGATTGGTTCTGATCCAAATTTTCTTTCCCACAAAGCCGCCACAGTTCAGATCTCCGATCACTAACCATTGTTTAAAATCATTTATCAGTTTTCTGGTTTCCACCTGAGTGTTTCTCTGCATGTGGGTGAGAAGCTTAAACAAAGAGATGGCAGAAAGACAGACAGACAGAGCTTTTTTTATTGAAAGACTATTACAATGACTGCAGCTCGGATTTATTCTCATTTAGGAAAATATTTTTAGTGACCTTCCATAATTTGACCCAGTCAAATGCAGGACTTTGTTTCAATTTGTGGGACACTGGAACGGAAGTGAAAAAGCCAGCACCAAATCAGGACATTTGGTCACCGTAGCTGGCTCTTAATATTCTATTTAACTGCCTCTTAGTAATGAGAGGATCTCTTTGTAGCTTACCTTCAGTCAAAAATACAGGTAATCAGACTAGCCTTCATTTTTTTGCATTTTTTTCTCGTCATAAACCCCTGTTGTGGCCACAAATGAGTATTATGTTGTAATGAATTAGCATTTCATTTTGCCACTATAACTCTCTTTTTTTCCGTATGCCATCTCCTGGTCTCTATAAGTAATCACACCTTTTGGATGTTTTTGTTTGTTATTTCATTGTTTCAAAATAACAAATGTTAATCAATTTTTCGAGGAAGTAAAAACACAGATGAGATGCATTTCAATTTTTTAAATAAAATCTAAAAACAATGATGTTTTGATGTATTAAGGCCCTGTATCTAAAACACAAATCTCTTTGCAGCAAACTGGAATTAGCCCAGTAGTTTTCTAATCAGTAAATAGATTACATCAGCTAAACTGAGTTTAGAATGAATGCAAATGTTAAGCAAAGTGCCTCAGTGGTTGGTTAGAGAACATTAGTGAGCAAAGAATATCAGAAGCACACAGGCCAGCAATGAAGCTATGGAGACACTTAAAGCAGGGTAGCTTTAAAATCTCACTGATCACTATTTAATCGATATTCTGAAAGTGGAGAGATTTAGCTATGGAGATATACTTCCTGTCGGCAAAAATAATGTAGATATTGAGTTAACAGGAATATGAATGAAGCATAATGACAATCTTTGGATCAAATTTGCTACAGGGGGCCAAAGATTGACCCCGAAATCCCAAATCCTCCATAACAGACTTGTTCCACTCCACGCAGCTCCGTTCCAGACCAGCTGCACATAGAAACGCTTACAGCCTTCAGGGTTCCTTCTTGTTACGATCAGTGATGTCTAGGAGCTCTCTTCATGAGAGAGCTCTCTCTTTGTGTTTCAGGTCTACCTGGCTGTTACAGGTGCAATGTTTTGAAGCTTGTGAGCCACCTCATAAAGAGCTTCAACCCTGAGATGTCAGGACCCTTTCTCTTATTCAATGGGCCTTGATCTGCAGTGATCTTGTCTGTGAGCTGACTGTTACTGTGTGATTAATTTTGAATAGTTGGCTAATGAAAGCATTTTTCTGTTCACAGTGGAAGCTGGTTGGGGTTCTCTGCCATTTTTGTTCAATTTTTTTCTCCTTGTTTCGTGTTTAGCCAGGGAGTTCAGGTATTGTCTTTTTCTTTTCAGTTCTCTGTTAGAAAGTGGTTTATTTTATAAGTAGGGAGGGTTGGTTTGGTCTTAAGAGACCCTGAGGCTTAAAGCTTCCCCTTTTTGCTGTCTGCTGTATTTTGTGACCCCTTTAAATTGTGAAATAAATTATATTTTTCTACTGACATCATCTTTTAGTTTACTGACTGCTGAATAGCCCCACTGTGGGACAACAAATGGATTTACATTAGTTTTTTTTATTAAATATTACAACTGCTGGGGGGGTTGTAACACACAACTGCAACACACAGCTCGAGGAGAGCATGCACAATATTATTACTTGCTGAATAGTAGGAAAACAATATGAGGTAAAGAAAGTTTAATTTAATTTGACAGAATTAAAAGTAGCCACCAGTATCCATCACAACTGTAGTTTCAGCCCAAACATTTTATTTTTGTTGTGGGTCTTTCTAAGTGGGAGAACTAGGATAATAATAAATTGGTTTGTTCTCATCATCCATGCCTGCAATAACAATTGTTTTCTATTTTTTAAAGTTGTAAGATCTGCCCTTGGAAGTTGTTCTGACTTGATTTAATGAAAGTTTTAAGCCTTTCAGCATAAAATAAATATTTTGATGGAAATTAAAATATCTTCTTCCTGGTATGCATAATTACAAATATCGTGAATCCAATTTAGCTGCCTACTTTTTTGGGAATACATAAAATTCATGCTCAAATTAGAAGTTACATATTTATCGTTACTCAAATTACTTTGACAATCCATATCTCCTTGATGTTCTTTTTCCTGCTGGTATTATTGCAATTGCAGGTCTTGACCATGCTGGCTTCCAGCGGACATCACATGTGGAACTGCAACTTATCATTTACATCCTCTTTATGCAAAGAAATCAAATAACGTTTTAAATACATCAGGATTGGCTGCTGGGGAAATATGTTATACAGTATAAATATTGAATGACAAAAAATAAACCTTTTTTATTTCTATAAAGTAGCAAAAGTATAATACAGACTAATCTTCCTATGAAAATTAGCCCCTATCTATTGAAATGATGCTGCGTGACGTTCATAGCAAACTAAATGTCAAAGCGGCCCGCCCGTCCAACAGCCTCCCTCCTCCTCTGCCTCATCTCCAGACACTGGAGCTTGATTAGTGTTTGGTGCTGCTGCGGCAAAACAAAAGGCTCGTTCTGAGAGACGGACGAGGACGTGACGCTCCCTCAAGGATAGAAGACATTTTCTGGTAAAAGTGACGTGATTATACAGCAGACTTTTCATTCTAAACAAAAACAAGTGACAGCAGTTTGAGGATGTGTACGTGTGCATAGTGAGTGTGCTCCTGTTATATTGTGATCACACCTGCAGGAGCCTATTTAAAAGGAATTTTTGACACATTTTATGGATGATGCAAATACTGATCAGTCAAGTGTATGTACTGCACATCTGCACTAAGCATCTGTTTCATGTACTTCTAAACTTTGAAGTTTACTGTTAAATAATTAAGACGCACCAACTACTTTTGGTTCTAGGGAGTTGTGTTTGGATCTGCTTACATGTTTTCACATTTGCTGTGACTGCAGGTCCTTCGGTCCCATCCTGTAGCTGAGAGTAGACGCTGATCTTATACTCAGTGTTGGGCTTCAGGTTGTTAAAGCAGTGTCTGCTGGCTCCTCCACCGAGCTTCGTCTCCTGTTTCTGACTTTCTGCAGTCCCAAAAGAAAAAAATAAATTAACAATGAAGTTAAGAAAGGCTGATCTTTCTGCAGAAACTGTCATTTTGGAAAAAATCACACATTTTTAACTACAATAGAATGAAAAACAGCTCTAACAATCACTGAGTAATATAGTATCTTTGTGGTCAACACAGGTTACTTTGGAAAGTATATTGTAGTTTTGCACATCAAAATTGCATAAAACTGAAAATATTGCAGACTTTTTATCAAATAGTACTTTTATATATTCCATGTAATCCAGATGTTTGTTGAACAACAAGAATGAAAAGTTTTGTAAAACAGAATTGAAAGTTAAGAAAACAGTCTACTGTGCTCCCACAAAAGAAATTAGGTTTCAAGAACTTTTTTGTTCAAATAATGTGGAAGGTTAAACCCAAAAGCAGCTCCTGCTCCGACCAAATAAGAGCGACCTTGGAGAAAGCTGTGTGTTAATAAAAGCTAAACACAGCACTAGGTTTTTAGAGGAGACATGTTTCATTTAAAGGAGTTCATTTTCTGGCAACCCTTTGATCATGAATTGAAAACCTGCACAGCCCTGCAATGTTTTATTTTTACTGTTATTAAGGGTTTAAGTTTCATCATTGTGTTGTTTCTTTTTCCTTTTTTAACAACTTTTATTGTCATTTTGTATATGCAGAGTGCATTAAACGAAACTTTGTTTTTTAATGCTTTCATGACATTTCCAACATGTGTCAAATGTTTGAAATAAATAAGAATATTAATCATTTGTTTTGTTTATGCAACTGACCTCTAATTAAATTAGACCTGGGATGGATAAAACCTTGATGATGGTTAGAAGATCAATCTTGTCTGACCATCCCAACATATGGAAATGGTTTACAAAAGGCAGCCATTAATATATTTAAGAAAATCAAATCAAATGATATCAATCCTCATTTATATCATAAACACTCTTCAGCACTTTACAACCCACGTTAGAGTTTGATTCAATTTCCCCAAATTTACTTTCCTCTGTCTCACTTTATAACCTTCCATATCAAAAATGGGATAAAAGGCACATCATTCCAGTTTCTCCTGCAGTCGGAACATCTCCAGGGTAATTATATACCAGCTGTGCTGACATAAATCCTCATTTACTTCCATTTGGTGTGCTGAAAGAACCAATACATCGGAGCTCCCTGAGGAAAAGTGGGGAAATATGTGGCTTTTATGTGACGTTAATGATGGCAGTGGTATTGCTGAAGGCCTAAAGGTGATGAATAACAGCCATTACTTTCCTATTTGGTGGATGACGGCTGTATTAAAAGTCAATCTCATCTTTGAGGCGGTGACTGAGAGGTGTACCTAAGAAATGGAATCAGGGAAACCAAATCTGTTGTTTGATGTTATTTTCGTGAGTTGGGCTGGTTTGTCCCTTTCAAATGGGGAAAAATAGACAATTACTATTGTTTCATGCTGCAGAGAGTCAGTGCCGAGAAAATTGCTACAATAATTCTAGAATTGGTTATATATTTGAGTGGATTTGTTTTGGAAAACTGAAATAAAAGCTAACTGTTGGGATCCTCAGGCTTGCCCACCAGAGGGCGCCGAGGATCCTCTTCTGCTTTCTTTGTCTTTCCCTTAGGGCTGGAGTCCCAAGGTTCTGGAGATTACCCTCTGCCTCCAGCAGAGTGCGCCGTGGGTCATCCTGAGCTGAACCTCCCACACACCTGTGGCTGATCTACTAATTAGGAGGACCACAGTATATAAGCTGACTTCAGACCTTGATTCCACGCCGCAGTGTTGATCTTAGTTGGTTAGCTTCCTGAACCTCTGTTACAGATGAATCTTTGTTATCTCTAGTGTGAGATCAGATTCTAATTCTTCCTTGTCTCTGCCTCACAGGAATCCTGTCTCTTCGTGAAAGCTCTGGATGAGCTTAACCACCTGTCTCTTCGTGAAAGCTCTGGATGAGCTTAACCACCTGTCTCCTCGTGAAGGCTCTGGATGAGCTTAACCCCCTGTTTCCTTGTGAAGCTCTGGATGAGCTTAACCCCCTGTTTCCTTGTGAAGCTCTGGATGAGCTTAACCCCCTGTCTCCTCGTGAAAGCTCTGGATGAGCTTAACCCCCTGTCTCCTCGTGAAAGCTCTGGATGAGCTTAACCACCTGTCTCCTCGTGAAGGCTCTGGATGAGCTTAACCCCCTGTTTCCTTGTGAAGCTCTGGAAGAACTGTCTCTCTGGCAACCTGTCTCTGGCCTGCGGCTCTGGGAGAGTTGCATCATAGGAAGCCAGTCCCAAGCCTGACGCTCTAGGAAAGCTAACCTGCTAATCTGCCCTGGTGAGCCAACCCATGAATTCTACGTGGATGCTACCTGTCGACTCCCCTGTGGAGTTTCCCTAAGAGGTTCCCATGTGGATTTCCCCTGTTGTTTCCCTGCAGTGAGCTGGAAGCTCAAATCCAGCCATCTCCCTTTCCCCGCACAGACCCCAGCGAATCAGTCCCCTGCCTGAACTGTGATACATGTGCTTGAGCCTTTAATAAACTCTTTGGACTTTTACCAGTGCCTCCGTGTGTGTTCTGCATCTTGGGCTTTACTCTAAGAGAACCCATCATGACACTAACTCTAAACTCCAATAAAACACGTTTATGAAAAATCTAGATGTAATTTTGAGACATTATGGAAAAGCTTACCTTTCTTAAAACACACCCTGAGCCACATGATGATATTTCTAAAGTTGAAACATCTAGAAAAACCAGGCCGTGTAAGCAAAAGTGTCTGTCTGTCCAGTTTTAAGGGTGACTTCATATTAATAGAATCAATACAAACATTTTAAATGGGGACCGTCTTACTTATTTTCCCTATTCTTATGGTTTAGCAATTAAATAAAATTGAATATCACAGAAACACCTTTTATTTTGTACTTTTGAGAAAACTATAGGGTAGACCAAAAAGTGTAAAAGAAAAAAAAATATTTTAAAGTTTGCATTACTTTTTGCTATGGATTCTGTATGTTCATTTTTGTGTAACAAATAATTAAAATATCTTATCCATAAATTCATCCACAAATGTGACTTTTAAAAGTACTCTTAGGTGAATAGAGGGCATTCCCAGGCCAACTTGGATACATTCTTTGCAAAGGATTCTGGGAGTTTTTCCAGGTTTTCTAAGAGGACTGGACAGTGGAAACCTCCAAAAGGTGTACACTGGAGGTACTCTGATCAGATATTCAAACTGTCACAAGTAACCATTTTTATTGTAAAGGGCCAGCTAATCTCACAACCATAATGGAAAATCTGACATACAGGGACTGTAAATTTACAGATTATCTCTGTGGGTCACTTCCTTTGACATGAGAGCACAGCCCATATTATTCATCTATCCTATCTCAAGACATGAAATTATTTATTGTCACTTCTGCTTGAGGTGAAAACTGACCCTTAACCTGCAGGAAGCAATAAACCTTTTTTCAGTTGACAACTATGAAGGCTGACAGATGCATATGATCTCCAAAAAGCTAAGATGAAACCCTTCGCTTTGTAAATTTGAGGCCTTTCTCCACACAGCTTGACCTTGAGGTCTTGGATAACGCGATTGGTGATGAAGCGATGACAAAATCCAGTCAGACCAGAAGCCAACGGGACTTTGTGCCACAGAAAGCAGACGCAGCTCATGCTTGGATATACAAGGAGTGGGTAGACTGTCTCACATTGTATAAAAAACTAATGGGACTTAGTCTGAAGCCTTCTCCAGATCCACAACATGTCCAAACTCTGATCACCCCCACAGCCACACCATAGGGGTAAGACTCTGGTCAACTTTACCACAGAATAAATGAAAGCATTGTTGCTTAATGTGAATTTCAACTTTTTACAATTATTGCAGCCTCCTAGAAAATGGTTTAAATAAGAGAAAAGAGGGTCAGTTGGAAATGTGAGTTAGAACATACTGTCCTTTCCCCTTTAATAAAATCTGAGAATATTATCTGGAACTCCACATGTGTTGGATCATTTTGTCTCAGTCCTTAAGGGCCAAATAACTTTATGACAAAGTTCTTTAATGTCCACAGATGTCATCATCTTAGGTCTAGAAGATCTAATAATAAGGTTTTCAGGACATGCCCTAGCATTTGTTCATAAGATTGTATTAAAACTCCTAGAGAAGAAATGCTTCTTTTTTGCTATTAAATGCTAAGATAATACATATAAAATTTAAACCTTGTTTGATTTGGGTCAGATTGTAACACTTTGAACACTGCATGATTTCTAGCAAATCATGTTAAAAATGTGCGAAAACTCTAATAAGTTCCAAACTTGAGTCTTCGAGGGCAGGCAGGCAATAATGGACGCCCCTCTGCCTAAGATAATTAATTAAGTCTCTGAAGAAATCACTTTGATACTAAGGAGGAAATTCAGCCATTTGATTTAGGTGTGTTTGAGCTGGATGCATCCAAAAGTTGCAGGACACCAGCCCTCAGGGATTGCAGTTTGACAGTCCTGTCCTAAAATAAACAGAGCTTTAATTGCACTAACATAAAATAACACTGAAATAGAAAATAATTAAAGAATTTCTAGGTGTATTAATTCAGTAGGGGTCAAAATGCCACAATAAGACATATTTTAAGCTTACCTCCAGCTGCACTTGATTGAACCACTACTTTTTTGAACATTAACAGGAAAACTCTCTCCTATAACATTGCTAAATATTCTCCACATCCTCTCATTAAAACATTTTTGATTCCTTTGGAATCCCTGTAAAAGAAAAAAAAAATGCCCACAGATCCTTCATCATGCATAATAATGGCCAATGGGGGCTTTCCAAAATATTCAAGCTTTGTTTAACTCTTTAAAGCCCGATCCAAGAAAAAAACTAAAACTAAATAGAAAATTACTTTTTTGTTGTTTTGAATTCCTTATTTGCCCTTTTAACAAAAATATGTAAAAAGAAAAAACAGAAATACATTTTTGATGTTAATAATTTATTACTATGCGATAGGTCAAGATTATTTTTTGTGTAGTCTTCTACTGGCTGTTATCAGGTATATCTGGTTGTGTACAATAGGATTTTGAGAAAAGTTTTTACCATTAAATTATGCAAAAGGTGTCAGATGCAAAACATTTCAGAAACCGTATGTATCAAATACGATACATTTGGCATTATAGGGTTAATGGGAAACCTACCAGGACTGCGAGAGAACTACACTATATTGCCAAAAGTATTTGCTCACCTGCCTTGACTCACATATGAGCTTAAGTGACATCCCGTTCCTAATCCATAGGGTTCAATATGACGTCGGTCCACCCTTTGCAGCTAGAACAGCTTCAACTCTTCTGGGAAGGCTGTCCACAAGGTTTAGGAGTGTGTTTATGGGAATTTTTGACCATTCTTCCAGAAGCGCATTTGTGAGGTTGCACACTGATGTTGGACGAGAAGGCCTGGCTCTCAGTCTCCGCTCTAATTCATCCCAAAGGTGTTCTATCGGGTTGAGGTCAGGACTCTGTGCAGGCCAGTCAAGTTCATCCACACCAGACTCTGTCATCCATGTCTTTATGGACCTTGCTTTGTGCACTGGTGCACAGTCATGTTGGAAGAGGAAGGGGCCAGCTCCAAACTGTTCCCACAAAGTTGGGAGCATGGAATTGTCCAAAATGTCTTGGGATGCTGAAGCATTCAGAGTTCCTTTCACTGGAACTAAGGGGCCAAGCCCAGCTCCTGAAAAACAACCCCACACCATAATCCCCCCTCCAACAAACTTTACACTTGGCACAATGCAGTCAGACAAGTACCGTTCTCCTGGCAACCGCCAAACCCAGACCCGTCCATCAGATTGCCAGATGGAGAAGCGCGATTCGTCACTCCAGAGAACGCGTCTCCACTGCTCTAGAGTCCAGTGGCGGCGTGCTTTACACCACCGCATCCGACGCTTTGCATTGCACTTGGTGATGTATGGCTTGGATGCAGCTGCTCGACCATGGAAACCCATTCCATGAAGCTCTCTGCGCACTGTTCTTGAGCTAATCTGAAGGCCACATGAAGTTTGGAGGTCTGAAGTGATTGACTCTGCAGAAAGTTGGCGACCTCTTCGCACTATGCGCGTCAGCATCCGCTGACCCCGCTCCGTCAGTTTACGTGGCCTACCACTTCGTGGCTGAGTTGCTGTCGTTCCCAAACACTTCCATTTTCTTATAATACAGCTGACAGTTGACTGTGGAATATTTAGGAGCGAGGAAATTTCACGACTGGATTTGTTGCACAGGTGGCATCCTATCACAGTTCCACGCTGGAATTCACTGAGCTCCTGAGAGCGACCCATTCTTTCACAAATGTTTGTAAAAACAGTCTGCATGCCTAGGTGCTTGAATTTATACACCTGTGGCCATGGAAGTGATTGGAACACCTGATTCCAATAATTTGGATGGGTGAGCAAATACTTTTGGCAATATAGTGTATGTGGGTCATCCAGATGTTATAGAGGTTGGATTTTAAAACTAGTGAGTAAATAAAGATCTTGAAGGTCTTAGACTCCCAAAAATTAAACTCTCACATGCCAATTACATGCAATGGCATTACAAAAGCTATTTACAACTGTCCTTTGGACTCGGGTACCAGTTCTTTTGAATGCTTTGCAGAATATTACAAGTACACGTTGGCTGTAGACCCAACTGTTTGAGCCACTATGACAAAATCCAACTAAAAACTGTGCTTATATTTTTGTTACAGGCTCATCATAATTAAATAAGTGACATTATATCTATCAGGGAGTTTTGGGCCCTTTGGTTGTTAAAGCTTTGTGATTTGAAATCAACAATAAAACTTACAAGTCAAAATGAAGACCTGACTGGATACTACTACGTAAATTCATTCCAATAATGAAACAAAAAAGAACATTAAAAAATGGAGCAATCTTACATTGGTGTCAAATCAATTATCATAAACTCCAGGGTAGGTGTCAAAACATTTTCAGAACATCTAAACGAAATCCTGGTTTTATCAGATTTTAGGCCTGTGTTGTGGTACAATGACTCAGATGACTAGATCTTTTGCACAAGAAAAAAAAAATGAATTAGTTAAAGAAAGTAAACTTTTCCATGCTTGAAACTTTTTTAAAGCCTGACAGAAAACCTTTTTATCACCTTTAGTAAATTATGTAAAACATAAAAACACCTTTATCTGCAAAACAACATTTGATTTTACAAAAAAGGCCAGTGTAGGAAACATTTCCACAGTTTGCTGGAACTTGGTTCTGACTGTCATTTATATCTTTAGGGTCTCACTCAAGCAGGTTTCAATGCTTTTCTGAACGCCCACTTCTTACCACAGGGAGCATTAAACAGAAGGAGTTGTTTGGTTTCTATTGTTTCACGGAAACTACTTTTCCACAATAAAAAAACAATTCCAGGTGCTACTAAATGTTTAGAGAAAAACATCATAGGTCCATTTCAACTCCATTTCTTCATCTTTATAGCAGACTCAACAAGAATGAATCACTGCCTTTCACAGAACCAGAACACCTCCTCATTTGGTACCCATAATTCCTCTTTTTGTCCTCATGGCTTCATTTACTCCACAAAGAAAATGTAAATGTCACCAGAGCTGTAATCCATAACCTTTTTTTGCCCCCAACAGAAAGGCTCAGTGTTTGATTTTACAGCTAAACCTTTAAGACTGTCAGCACATCTCAAGAGGGATACAACAAAACCTCTGTCATCTTTGGCTAATGAGGAATTCAAACTCCTCCTCATGAAAGCATGGCAGTATGAAACAGCCCCTTCACTACTGACTCACATATTCAGAGTGGGAATTTAGTATGAAAATATGAAGAGAATTACAGCTTGGCATACAGTATGATGTAGCTTAGGTAATGCAGTCACGTTTTAGAGACTGGCAAGACTTTTTTCTGAAACCTGCTTTATAATCCATAGAGATGAAAGCTGATATATTAGTAGGATACACTGAACTCTGCACACTGCAAAAAAATGAAATCTAAATAAGTCATTTTTTCTTAAAAGAAGTGCATTTTTTCTTGACTTAAGGAGGTAACCTAGAAACTTTGACAATGGAACAAGACAATTTACATTTAAACTAAGAAAAAAGCTATTGCATCATCTTATTTCAAGTGCATATCATCTAATTATTAGATAAAGGAACAATACCGTACTTCCATTGGCATATCCTCTTGTTTACCTACTCAAATGAAGGGTAAATACATTTATTTTAAGAACTGTTTTACTTATTTCTAGATCATTTTTGCAGTGCATTTTAAGCAGGGGACAAAAAATGCATGAAAACTGATTGTCATTATCTCCTTTCTATCTCTTCTTTCTTTCATCTTTTCTCTTTTTTTTCTTTTTTTCCTTTTTCTTCTTCTGTTTTTCTGCTCTATTTACATTGCAGTGTCCATATAAACTGTAAAACTCCCTGCATAATTATAATAAAGCAATTTATATGCATGAAACAAGTGGAGCAGAATGGCAATTGCCATACTGCTACACTTGTGAAAGTAAAATCTGTTGGGCTCTTTTTGGCATCAAGACAATTATTCTTATTGCCACATCACCATACAGGACACTGTAAAAACAAAAAACAAAAAAACAAAACTAATTTTCATTGAGAAAGAAAAATATTATGAACTCCTGCCTAAAATAGATTTTGTCTGTTTGTGTTACCATTTCAGTTTGACACAACACATTATTTATAGAGTCAAAGGTATGAGCAAAGAGTAGCCCTACTCACCAGTCAAAGACTGAATAACTAGTCTGTAGGAAGTGGCATGTCGATGAGGCCCCCACTGAGCACAAACACTACTCATCCTCACTTGATATGTGCTCAGATTGTTCACTCCCAGGTACACTGTCAGAAAGATGGAGAAATGTTAGAAAAAAAATATACAACTCAAACAGAAAACGTTGCTCATACAGATGTCTTAGCTGCGGCATGTTGCTTAGCTCCTGTTTGTAGACATGTTCTTGTGTCACATAAAGAGTAAACAGAAATACATCGACAACATAAAACTTTTCTGGACCTCTTAGGAATATTCAGTGGAGATCCGTGAGCTTTTTTCTCTCCGTGCAGCTATAAAATGCCACATAAAGCCACACCAAGCTCACTTCACAGAAACCACATGCAATCATGACTCCAGATGATGGACTTAAAGTGTATAGCTGGTTGGTTATAAACACACCAGACTGCACTTCCAAGGAGTTATTTGCAGACATATGGGGATGTAAGGCTACACTAAGTTTGCAGAAAAAAAGAGAGCAGGTTTCACATAGAATCCAAAAACAAAACTACAAGGTCTATTTAAGCAAATTGCTGGAATGTGCTTTGAGATTTGGCCTTAAAAAGCATCACTGGTTAGGAGTAGACACGCATAAGAATTTAGGTTTAAAATAAGTTGGAAATCAAGCCTGAAGCTTCCATTGTTTTAGCCTAAAGAAAAACCTTTTTTGAAGTATTTGACTTCCTAACAATTGCATGTTGCTTCTCTGCATTAAGTAGAATACCTTTAAATATAATTCATGCTACTTTTTTTTCTGTTTATAATAGAATTCAATGCATTCTTTAAATCTCTAACCATACACAAACAGATTTGTCCACCTAAGCAGCATATATAAGCAGCTATGTCAGAGATCCCATGGGTCTCTTTGCTGCTTCTGTGGTTAGTTATCTCTTTACCTGGCTTGTCAGTTTAGATGTACAGCTGTACAGTATCTTGTTAGGTTTGCTGTGCAATAATCTTCCAATATTCAGATGATGGATTTGAGCTGAGCTTTGGGAAATTGTTTGATATTCCAACCATCTTTTAAGACGGGCATACACCGTTTTCAGGCCAATTCCCCAGTCAAGCGAGAATTTTTGGATCAGGCAGAGTTTCAGCCTCATCGTGCATCCTGTGGTATACAGGGCGGACATGGGGCAAATAGCCACTAATAACTACCTCCCGATCAGGAATCATAACGTTGGGAGAAATCAATCATGTTTGAAATTCACTCGGCCCTCATAAGGTGTTCATGAGTAAATCCTGCTGTCGAAGCAGAGTTACAAGGGTCTATGAGCCGATTTACCAGAACCTCACGCACTGTGCATGTTCAAACAAGGGAGTTCCTCTTCTTCCAGGTTGACTAGTCCAACAAGCGGCATCTCTCTGTGCCGAGTCAGACATGGTATTTTTGGACATACTGTGTGAGCAGTTAGATTGAACAAACATCATGAGCTGTGAACTTTTAAACCCTGTGATTTCATTGTACAATTTGAGCTGTAGCAGAGTAACCTGACTCCGCCAGATAGATTTGCTCCGCATATCCATCTGTAAAACCTTCAGTTGAAGTAATTTTAGGAAGGGGCGAAAATACTGGTTAGCTGATTGGCCTATGTTGGTGATAGACGGGCCAAATAAACCAATCAGATCAACGAAGCATATGACGTACTAACAGAACGACGACGAAAACACAACCACAAGCCAGGCTACTCTTGCCGAAACAAGTCGGGAGAAGAGCAAAAACATCTTTTCCTCTGAGAAAAGCCTCCAGAGCAGTGTTTTGCTCTTCTTTCAGTGAAGAAATACTCTGTAATTCCGATAAAACTTGCTCGATAACGCTAGTTTCATCGGCTGAAGCCGCCATGTTCTTTAGACTGAACTGTTGCGCTTCTCGTTACGTCACACCTCAACCCGCCTCAAAGCCAACGCTGATTGGACGTTCGTTTGGTGAACAGCTCAAAATTTTCTTTAACGGAGAGTCTCCAGACTGATTAGCGAGTGAAACCTTGAAAGCTTGCGAGATCAGGATGGTCTCACGAGGCTAGTAGCAGAGTACAATGATTGGAAATATCCCACAGGGTTTGCCCGGCCTTAGACTTCTCCATACCTGTATCTCAACCTGTTTGCAGTGTTTCAAAGGCACTATCCAGAACGAACTATGCATATAGAGCCTTTTCTGCCTATTTAAATCTCAAATGATAATCTGGTGATTATTTGCATCAGATTATTTGCATTGAAATGTAATTTTTCTAAAAAAAAAAAAGTTTTCGAATATACCTCAACATGTACAGTAAAGCCTATGAAAAAATCCTGGAGCAAAACTGACTTACTTTCTTCTCAAAAACTCCAAGACTTGTGATTGTGTGACATTGACGCATCAGCTCGCTCATCTCTTCAGGCCCACTGGTTTCATTAACATGCTGCTGAGCAATATCAGAGAAGCTGTGTTCCCCTTCTGGGATATCTATACCCTAATCATCCTTCCTTCCTTTCATACAAAGCCATCTCTCCATCTTATTCAGTTTATTCTCCTTTGCACTACCCTTTGTCTTGCAAGATTTGTCCTTTATTCAACCACCACATGCCTACTCATTGTTATGCAGTTGGTGAAAAATTTCACCACTGCATGCGTGCTATATTTAAAAAGGTACATGTTTCTGCCTTTAGCTGACACTCACCCTACAAGCAGTGCAATGAAAATGGATGATTTAGCTGTCTGGCCCAAGGACACCATAAAAGGACATTCTTTCTGTTGGCTTTGATTTTCCGAAAAGCTCAAACTGGTGACATCTGAGGTTCAAACGAAGCTGTATACAAACGGTGCAGGCTGCTGGGAAGAGGTTAATTATGACGAATGTGGACCAAAAGGTTTTAACTTAATCTTACTGAGAGGAAGTGATTAAATAATTCCAGACAGACTTTCAAGGAGTTTTTTTAAGGCTCTACTTCACCAATCAGAGAACTTTAATTCCACATATATTTGGTTTATTTAATGACTGCTGTTATATGTAGATCATGGGCGTAGGTTTGCATAGGGACCATAGGGACATGTCCCTACCAAAATTTTGAACCGACCTAATTGTCCCGACCAATAATTGGATGTGAGCAACATGTTTATAATTTACAGCAGTAGTTGTTGCAGCAGTGGCTTCTTTTCCTCTCGCAGCTCCTCTGCCTGGTCTCTCCTGTCCCTTTCACGTAGCAGCGCATGGAACTGTGCTGCGCTGTTTAACTCAACTCTCATTGGTTGTTCTGCCTTAAGTTCCGCCTACTCTCTCTCTGATTGGCTGTTCTCTAGTCCGCGTGTGCTTGGAGCACAACATTGAAAATTTATTCACACTAGAATGCAGCGGTTACAACAATTAATATTAGGCTACAAAACTAGTCCCAATAAAAAAATTAATATCATGTACACTAAAAAACAAAAACCTTTTTTTTTCTTTTATAAAACGAAATATTCTGAGTCAGCCAGGAGTTCTGAAGACTGCTGGAAAAATGGGCAAATAAAGGCTGTAAGCCATCAACATTTCTGATTCTTAGCCACAGCCAACTAAAAAAGAAAATGTGACGGTTTCCTTTTTACTGATATTTAGTTGATATTACTGTTTTCATTTTTTTGTTTTTATGTTTACAATTTTGCTTCATTACCAGTAAAGAGCGAGTATCCTTCTATCAAATGTGTTGTGGAGTGGGAGCTGAGAGATAAAGACAACAAAGACCTGTTCTGCATCCGATTCCCAGTTCAGATTGTGAGCTAAACCACCATAACAGAGAAGAACCTCAGATGAGCTGCTTTTAAGAAGGGATTCAGCTTTGAGTAAAAAAATAAAAAATCTAATATCCCTGGTTCTTGAGACTTTTATCTAAGTGGGTTGCTCTGTGGGGAAAGGCACATTTTACATTTATATTACTGTATGTTTTAAAGTCTCTATACTCCAGTTAATGATGAATCACTTACTAAATTAGTTGACGATTATTGAAATAATCAATTAATATGATTCATTTTTTTCAGCCCCAGATGAAATACATGAAATTGGCTACACAGAGTAACTACAGCCCAGATGTTCAACTTTTATAGTGAAGTTAATATTTTAATGAATGTATTATTTTGCTTGATACAGAGAGAGAATAGTAGGTACAAATATAAGAGTGGGGTTTAACTCTGCACAATTCTATATCTTCAAAAGAAAATACTGTATTTACCTTCTCTCTTAGTCGTTCAAATGAAACTGTTTTCAAAGTGGAAAACAGTCCTAATTCCACATTCTTCAGAGCCGGTGATGCTTCAAACATTGATAAACAGCATCTAATGAGTGTAGAGCTTATAACATTTTTATTAATGGAGCAAAATGTTGCTTTTCTCTTTTAACAATGAATTCCTCTTATCAGTACGGATGCTCACATCGAGCATAAAAAAGGGCATGCATATTGCATAGCACCAATGACACCAGACCAATAGTGTCCCTACCAAAGTTCAAATCAAACCTACGCCCTTGATGTAGATGATTAGCTGCACTGGTGAATAATTAAAGGTGACTATTCAGTTCAGATGTAATGAAAAAAAGGAACAATTGGATAAAAAGAATGGATATGAATTCAACTATTAAAAGATTTTTCTTTAAATAATCCATCATTATTAAGTAACTGATTTACATTTTCTTTTTGAAATTGTCGTTTTCTTGAGCTCTTTATCATAATTACAACAGTTGCGTTGAATAAGTCAGTTGTTTATGGTAGCTGTCCATAATTTAAGTTTCAGGTGTGAAGTAGTTCAAGGAAAGTGCTGCATGTGTGCAGAACGTTTGCAGCATGAAGGCAGCGCATGAGGAGAAGCTGAGGGGATGATATGCAGGTGCTACTTATAAAAAGACATAAAGGAAAAAGCCATGGCACGTTTTCTCAGCTGTTAAATGACGACTATAAAATTATACATTAGTATCTTTGCTACATCCTATGCTGAATAAATGCTTACCGAGAAATTTAGATACATGTTAGAACAACTAATGATTACTTATAAGTAATATTGTGCACTTTTTGCAGCCAAACCAAATCCTTTTTAATCACAACTAATCATGTAGATACTGTTAATATTGATACTAATTAAATTCAAATCAGATGAACTCCTCAATAAAATTTAGTTAAGAACACAGTTATTGATAGAGTGCTGTCTTGATTATTACATTTTGAATAAAGTGTATAACAAAATCTTTTCCTTCCACTCAGAGTCTATTTATGTTTACTTTAAGTTCAATTGCGCTGGATAGGACATTCAGCATCCTCAGGCTTTAAATTAATAAATGAATAAAAAGGGCTTTATTTAATTTATTTTGTCATGCTTTAGGTGTCACGTTTCCCACTTTAAGGGCCAATGATTCACTTTTTAATTTATGGTATGCACTTCATGTAGAGGTGTGCATGTAGCCTACTTTAAAGACACCAATAAAAGCAAGCCATTGGTGAAATATTTCACCTAATTTTACGTGCTTGTTTTGTTTTTTGTCGAATAAAAAACAAAACAAAAAACATTTGTATGTTTAAAAAAAAGAAGAAAATGATTTATCAAAGCCTTATTTTCCATAAAAAACGATAAAACAAAAAAGTGTTATGCAAAGGCTGTTGTGTGGACTTTGGAGAGCTACTGGAAAGGTTTGATGATTTGTTCTGGAGTAGAGACACAAAGCTCTTTTTTTTTCTTTTAGATAATTCTTTCATTAAAAATAAACAAGAAGCAATAACCGGGTAAAATCAAAATAATTTCCTCTAGTTGGTTTGGTGATTATGCAGAAGGAAAAAAAAAAGATAGAAACTGAAATAAATTCTGGAAAAGGAAGCCAAACTTACAGGTCCGGGCCTTTCCTGTGAGAGCCTCGCTGGATCCTGTGGTGTAGGACGCTATGACCTTGACACTGTACTCTGTCCCACTCAATAGGTTGAGAATAAGCATGGTGTTTACATCCTCTCCCACAAAGGTCTCCAGAGCTTGTCCAGTGCCTGTAAAAGGGCAGTCATTTAAAAAGAAGGTCAGGTAGGCAAATGAGCATTTTCAGAGAGGAGCATAAGCTCTTTGCTCCAGCAGCAGAGAATAAAAGTTATTTTATGTTTCTAAATGAATAAAAATTTGAAAATATGCTGATCAGTTTATCATTGCTATTATAACTGTAGTCATTTTGGATGCTTTTTGGGTTAAAACACAAAGCATTGGCTTGGAGTTTTCAGGCTAAAGGAGATGAAGTGCTCTATATTCTAGATGTACTTCTTCATTTGGAAACCGAACTCAGTTCAAATGAGTCTCTGCTGATTTGGGCTTATTTTACATTTGATAGTGTCTAATGTAGCCTTTAGGCATTAGCTAGAGGGGAAGATGCTGTAGGGCATTAGCTTAAGGCTTCAGAAATCTGCTGAGCTCCATCATTTCTCAATTCAGAAAATCTATTGTTAGAGAACGCTGATAACAGAGAAAGTTAGATTACATGTTTCAACTGTTAGGTCCTGAAGACATTCATCTACAATTTATGATTTCTTGTGCAGATATTCATGCATCATCATCAAATCATTGCAAAATCCCAAAGCTGATGAGACTTTTTAATAAGAGTGAAGGTTATCATTAAAGCACAATTTTTAGCCAAATCAGTAAAAGGCTTAGATTGTGTTTCTGTGTCTAAATTACCAGAAAGAGGCTGGTAGACGACTCTGTACCCCATAGTGGGGGAAGGTGGAACGTCCCAGCTGATCCTGAAGCGGTTGTACCATTCTTCTGAGACTCGCAGGTTCTTAGGAGCAGAAAGAGGAACTGAAAAAATAAAATAAAATAAATGGTCATATTCCTACAGAAATCTGAAAACTGTTTTAGAAAATAAGACAATTGAGGAAACATTAGCTTCAGGGTTGTTTTCTTATGAGCTGTAGTTTGAAAAAATGTTAAATAAAACAATCTGGATAAACCTTAAAGTTTAAAAAGACAAAATAGTACTTTTATAAAGCAATTTAAATAAATTGAATTCCTGACATTAAAATATGAATACTTTTTTATTTCATTTTATTTTAGACAAGTTAAGAGAAACAGGAAATAAATGTGGAAACTGATAAGAAAGAACGTTTTATCAAGCTCAATAAAATTTCGTCTTAGCACAGCAAGAAAAAAAAGGATTTATTCTATAGTGTATATCTTCTCATGTATTTAAAAAACAGTTATAAATTATATGAAACCAAATTTATTTTAAAATGAAAAGGTGCAGGTTGGACTTTAATGGTCGGAAGTCTTATTTTTAGTATTTTTGCAATATAAAGAACTCATTGTCTAATGTGTAGCTGATTAGGGAAATCACTGCCTTGATGTACATTTATGAGCTCTGCTCATTGGAGGCCGATTCCCTCTTTAACCATAAAACGTGAGATCCCACAGGTTTATATCCCTGAGTGAACCTGCCAGCTGTTCAGCTGCACATTGATAAAGCTGAAAATCTTCCAGACACTCCGTCCATGTTCCATCATTGCACTCTGAGCTGGCTTCTTACAAACTGAAATCTCTCAGTTACAACGTCTCTTCTGCCCCGTCTTTCCTCCTCAGCCTCTGCAGTCGTTCGGCATTAAAATCCAATCATGCGTTTCTGTGCTGTACAATCCCATCGGTATCGGCTACAAACTTGCATGTTTACATCCTCAAGTTTTAACCTGCTATTCTGTTGTGTTTTCTATCCTTGGCTGCCCTTCCTGGACCTGAGGAAATTCCTATCATTTTCTGTGCTCTGCGCCATCCCTCCCGCATGTGCTGCCTGATAAAAGGGAAACTGGAGGTCTGATAAAAACTCTCCTGGCACAGAAGCTCTCTCACGATTCAACGGATGTGTTATAGAGGTTCCAGCGATAATTTAGCTTTAGAGATTTATTTTGGCTAAGATTTAAAAGCATTTGGGTCAATTACTCTTCTAATATTGAGTAAAAACTAAATTAATACACAGTTCTGACTTGATATTGTTGAAAAAGCTTGTTTTCTAAATGGTTTTGGCTTTATAACTTTTAAATCGAGCAGCTCAAACTAGACACAAGATGATTTATACACTGCAAAAAGTTAACTTTCTTCAATTTCTTCAATTTAAGTGTAGGGGGAATGGCGGCCTAGTGGTTAGGGCATAAAGCTTGGAATCATGACGTTCCGACTTCGAGCCCCACTCCCACAGTCTGCCACTTTCGGACACTGAGCAAAGACCCTTAACCCCACACTGCTCCCTGGGCGCACAATGGCAGCCCACTGCTCCACAAGGGGATAAGTTCGAAGCAGAGAGTGAAATAAGTGAAAATAAGTGAACATAAGCAAGACAATAATAATATTTACATTTAAAATAAGAAAAAAGAACTGCAGTCCCTAATTCCAAGTGTATAATATCTAATTACCTTATATTTAGCATAGAAATACTAATTCCATTGACAGATTTAACTACTAAAAAAAAAAGGATAAATACACTTTAAGTTAAATGTTTCCACATTATAGATTGTTTTTAAATCGTATCATAAACATAAAACTGCAGCATTCACAGAAATCAGCTGTCACAAGGAAATGCAACAAAAAGGCTGAGAATATTTGGCCAGGTTTGTAGAAACTTCACCAATAATACAAAATGTGCATTATTTTCCCATTTCCTTCATATCTGAAATGCTTCTCCTTATCTCTGAATAACTTCAACAATCATCCCATTCCTCAGTGGATCAGGAGCTCCGATTAGTCTGCCTCAGCTATCATATTATCTATCATCTGTGTGCCTCTAAATACCCAATCACCCCCTCTGTATTCCCTGTCATACCCACCTCAGTGTTGACTCCACCCCCCCCGATTCAAATCCTCAGATTATACAGGCTCTCCTTGTCCCATCATCTGTCTTTGCTAAAGAAAAAACCTCATGGACCCCCTTTTCTACATTCCCTGCCATTTTTACACAGGCCATCATCTCATCCCTCACTTGCTAACAGGAACCATTCATCATCACTGAGTGTCGGAGACCCATCATTTAAAAATCGGGGGAACGTCGTTAACGCCTGCTAATGTGTGTAATGCGGCACTAAGGGAGACACGATGGGATGGAGGCGAAAGACAAATGACTGGAATTTAGAGCTACTGTCTCACTGAAAGTCAAGTGTTTGCTCTGTGATGCACATCAAGGAAGAGGAATAAAATCTCCCCTTTTTTGTCTTGGGCTCCTCAGGAAGTATAATTAATGTAGAACTATTTGTTATAGAGCGCTGCCTTTTTTGAAATAACCATGGAATAGTTCTGACTGTTATGAGCTGATAAGAACATTTTGACATAATTTGACATTTTTTCCCTATTGTTCTTACTTTAAAGTGACTGTGAAATTTTCTGATGTATTTAGGCTTTAAAGAAATAATTTGGTTTAATTACATTATAGGAAAAAAAATGCTGTTGGCAGATATACATGCATTTTTGCTGATCTTTTTCATACATTTTCAAAGGTAAACACTATTTGTATAGATAACAATTCTGAGGACAAAAAAGCCTCAACTCATCTAAAACTTAAGGTTAGATTTAGATAAGTGTTAGGATAATTGTCATTGATGATGTGTGAGTTTAATACACCTTAATATTAGTTGCCTGTTGCGTGTCAGAACTGAGGTTTTCCCCAGTTGTTAATCTATTAAGGCCAGTTCCTCGGTCCGGCTATATACTGTTATAATCTTCATTTAGTATGTGGCAAAGAATTGGGAATGGAATAAGAGCGCTGTCCTTCAGCTAAGAACAAAGTGTAATATTTTGATAAGGCTGGAGGCATGGATGTCTAATCATCTGCAAACGTGTGTGATGTAAAATGTGATGATGTGCTTCTTCAACTGTTAATCTTGGCAACTTCCCGGTTGGTGAGCAGCTGCCTTCTGTAACTCTAAGCAACTTCTCTGATCTGAGTAAGATCACAAATTCTATAAAAATCTGTTGTCATGTCTCATGGTTATTTAATATATATATATACATACACACATTATGAAGTGTTATTTCAAGAGTTTGTCCCGAGTGATCTCTTTTCAGGAAAATGAAACAGAGAGAGCTTGAAGGTGAAAACACAGAGCTTTCCTTTAACATAACAAATTAAAAAGTGAGCACTGACTTTTTCAAAGGTCATAACTAAAACCTTTAAAGGAAATTCATATATTATATAAAAAAGTACATCCAAAGAATGAGTAGAGTGGTGCAGAGTTTTACGAGTTTCAAAGTTTTAAATAGTCACACAGACGTTGCCGCTGTCTTTCAAGAGAGGTCAGTTTGAAGGCAGACTTGAAAATCAGCTAGGAAAAAGTACAGCTGAGGAGTTGAGCAGGAGGGCATCAGTAAAAAGTTTAAACTTTGAATGTTTTTAGGCTATAAAGATGGTATGAAATGGCACAGTTTGGTAATTATTGTAGAAACCCAAGCAGGCAGAATAAACCTATTTCTTACTAATAACATGCATAGGAAAAGTTAAAGTAAAGATCTGAAAACAACATGGATGACTTATCTCATCAATGGTTAATTTGTATTTCTAGTGCAGTGCAGGGAGGGAGAGATGCCTTATTTATTGGTAAGTTGAATGTAGGATTGTGTTTTAGAAAGTTTGGCTAAGATAACAGCAGCTGCAGTAAATCTGTTTAATTATGAAATCATATGAATTAAACCGTTTTTTTTTTAAACTAGTGACTTAATGATATTCAAACTTTTTGTTCTCTCTCTTTCAATAGTCAATAGAGCTCTTGAAGTTTTTGCATTTCTTTTGCTAGTTTATATTTGTTACTTGTCTTATTGTTTTGTTCAGCCTAAGAGCCCAAAGAGTTTTTTCCCTATTTGCTTTGAGGTCTTAAGCCTAAATATTGCAGTTTATGTCTTGATTCATGTTGTTATTTTTGCCATTTAGGTTATACCATATAGGCTCACCTTTCCTTTTACTATTTCAATATATTATGTTATTGCTTCTCTATTCTTTTTAACTTTCTGGTGGATTTTTGAGTTAATTTTACTTGAAAATATTTATGTTTTTTTTTTTTTTATTAGAGGGTGATTTGTTACCCATTTAGTTTCTGTTATGCCATAGTTCTCAGTTCATCCTCGCCATCATGTCTTCAGCTTATTGGATCCACCTGCTTTAATACTCATCTAATTGACGGCCGCCACCTGTTCCCCTTTGCTTTATATACGGTCTGTTTCACACACAGCCCCCAGGTTTATACTGCCTGGCATGTCAAGCCTTTAATGTCCATATTTGCCATTCCTACTTTTGAACCACTCTCTGGATGTAAGCTGTTTATTTTTTAATTAAAACTTCTCAGCTCATCTTTCTTCCTCTCCTGCCTGCTTTAAGGTCCATCCTAAGAACCACAATGTGACACAAACTCACAAGCATGCAATGCTTGGATACTGTATGACACAGCATAAAAAATTTGATGAACTCTTCTCTGCTTTACCTCAAATCCAATATAATAATCGAAGAATTATTCTGGAAGCATTTTATATTTTTGAATATCACCAGCATCTAAAGAGGCAAAAGGAGTAGGGCTTAAGGGTCTAAATGTAAAGGCATGCATGTCATTTAATTTTAACAGCTAAAACTTAAAAGAAATGGGAAATCCTTATGGAAGATTTCTTTTTGTTGTGCTTTGATTGACATCCATAGATGAAATGTTGGTTTTTAAAAGTAAATAACAGCACTGATGAGAGCACATTAGTTATCTATTAGATTAAGAAAAAAGCTACACATGAGCTTGATGAATCAAAAATGGATCCATGCATGAACCACCAATGATTCCATGCTTGATCTGAAACTATTAACTTAACATCATAAACTGATCTTGAATTATCAAATTATATCATGTTTTAATGTCTTTCAGCTCTCAGTTAAGAATTAACAGGAGAATATGATCAAAAAATAAATTTAGGCTGATAAAAGGTAATGATCAAGTATATTAACATTCAGTAAAAATTGTTTCATGTTCATAATCATTTAGAGTTTTATGTAAATTTATTTACATTTACAGTATGCTTATCATGCTTAAATGGGTTATTATCCAGTAGTTTTTTATTTTAGTTTACAGTTAAGATTCAAAATTCCAGCTTTATTCTAGTTTATCCATAGATTTAAAATCAATAATAGAAACCATTTGAATATGAATTCATCCACTGATCCCTTTTAGAGGATATCAGGCTACAATGAATAAGATGGAAGGTCCTTTTTCTAGCTTATTTGATTCTATTCTTTGCTTTAATCAAACTCAAATCTAATTTGTGCTTTTATCATATCATCCTCAAATCCACTTTTTGTTTTAATTTTTTGCAAATAAGGACAAAACCACCAGTCAGCAAATGAATAACAAACACAGATTCCTCTTAAGTTTCACTACAATATGCAGCTATCCCCGTCTGCAGTTGTAAAGAGGAACATTTTGGTCTTTAATAGGCTTTTCACAAAAATCAGCAGTAAGTTTGGACAATAACTGTTGCAAAGATGATGGTCAGACTGACCCAGAACAAAACTTGTAAAAAGCTGAAAGGTGTAAAGATGAGAGAAAATGCACAGATTTAAAAGATCAAAATCATAATTGGCGACTTACGTGTCCGTCCCATTTGGGAGGATAGTGGGCCATCTCCATCAGAATAAACAGGGATGATGGTGACTTTGTACTCTGTATCTGAAAGGAGAGGCTGCAGAACCAGGCTGGTTTGACCCGAGGGCACCGTCCTCTGCAAGAAGAGGGGAAAGAAAGGTATAAAAATCAAACTAAATGGAACAGTACCTGGGCTGAGTGTATATAGTGCTTCTCTAGTCATGCTGGTAACTCAAAGGTCTTTACTGCACTTAGTAACATTGATGCCCAGATCTGTACCAACTTCAGAGAAACAATCTTATCCTGAACAATTTCCTGATGTAAATCATGACAAAGTCAATCAGAAAATAAGAATAATATGCATCAAAGGAAAGAAAAAAAGACCAGAGTCAAGTTGAAATTTCAATAGAACAAAAATCAAACTTTTAATTTCCCCTTCCGTTATTTTTTACTTCTTTATTCACGAATTGGCTCAATCATTGCTTCAGTAGTTTCTATTTCTATTTTTTGTTTTGCAAGAAGGAGAAACCATCCTTATAAAAAAGTGATAGCTGTGCATGGCTTTGTCTCACTGTCAGATTCTTGTTTCAGCTCTGGCCATTAGAAGTCTTTGTCTTACCCTACCTGTGTCTGCCAGTTTGCATTCTGGGCATGCACAGTCTGGCCTTACTCCACTGCAAACTTTTTTTCCTCCATCTCCAAAGGCAAAGTCTTTCTCAGACGTTTTATTCAGACAAGCACCGAGGGCCTTGAGGATTCAATTTCATTCCCGCCTGATGAAAAGCTAGCAAGTCTGTAAACTGTCAAGGAGGAACACCGTTTGGAATACATAAACTCTTTACTCAAACCTGAATTTTGTGTCATCTCCATATAAATTAGAAAAAAAAATTTAAATTCAAAATTCTTGAACAGTATAAATATTGAAAATTGTAATTTACATCAGTAGGTAAATGTTGCAGAGCAATTAACTGAAACCACAAACCCTAAAAGATTGGGAAAGATTGGGATTATCTTCATGTTGGGTGATAAAATTTTTTTTCATTAGATGAAAACCCAGATTTAAGGAAGATTTGCTGAAATAATGAACAAATTTGAACATTATGTGAAGGATAAATTATAAATTATTAAGGAATCCCCTCATTAAATACATTTTTATATAATTTCCTAGAAATATAGAGACACAGATTATTTTCCTATCAGGAAATAAAAGCAGGAGCAAAAACAATTTATACTAAATATATTATACATATATATTCTACAAGGTTTATATACCAGGATAGAAACTTTCATACTTGTTTTCTTCAAGTAAATGAGATTAATTATTTAAAGCACCTAATAATACATTTCAATAATATTAAAAGTTAATAAGACAAAAAATCTAAATGGGGTTTTGATGTATTAAGTACAACACAAAATCTAAATCTAATTTTTTCTTAAAATAATGGCATTTGTTCTTAAATTCAGAAGGTAAGGGAGACACTAAGCAAATGGAGCAAGACAATTTATATTTAAAATAAGAAAAAATACTGAAATTAAGGGGGAATACATTTAATTTACGAAAGGTTTACCTATTTCTAGTTTCTAGACTTTTTTTTGCAGTGCAGAGAAAAAGAATTGTATTTTTCCCTATCAAAGTTTTAAAGAACTTAAACAAATGTAGCAAAATAAAATGAAATAGCAGGAACTCTGTTTACACACAGAAATGAGTTTTATGCCCAACAGCCATTGTTTATTGAGCCTTGAATGCAGCAGCACAGCGACTTCGGTATATTAAGCATCACAGCTGTCTGAGAACAGATGGCTGCAGAGTTTAGTTACCCCCCGGTTACCCTGCACACACTGACATCTGGTGAAGCCGCGGCAGAGGCATAACCAGGATTTAAGTTTGGGTTTGTTGTTCATGGGAGGTTTTTGGTTTTAGGGTAGTAGAGGCCGTTAAGTATTTCCTGCTAGGTGACAAAATATTGCTGGCATCTTCTAACATGCTGATACTTAAATATAGCATAGATATAGTCAAAATATGAACAATACAATTTTTTCTCTGTATGAGCACCAACTGCAGACTTAATTAGTTTTGTGTATACTATTAATATGTAAATACCATTTGGAATTTATCCATCTATTGTAAAACCACTTAATATTTCTCTCATCGTAGCAAAGTTTTTCATACAAGTCTGTGACTCATGTGTAAAGTAAGTGTGAGCTTTATCAAATTGACAATGTGTCCTATGTATGATGTTTTTAACTACGAAAAGAAGCCGATGCCTTGTTGTGTTTATGGAGAGCACTACTGTTTATATATGTCCTTGAATGATAACAATTCATAATAAAAGTTGGGATGAATCCACAACAAGTTTTAAATCTTTATCAGAGCATTCTAGGTATTTAATTGGAAAAAAATGTTGAATGCAATACAGGACTTACCGGTACTTAAAAACTCCCTGAGAATCCAGTATTATGACAAGGTAATTATTAGTTGCTAACAGCACTAAATTTAGCATCTGTTTCATTGCTTTGGCAGTTTAAAATCTGAAATAGAGTGATTAAATGCAAAAGTGGTTAATCTGGCACAGAAAAGAGATGTAATCTACATTACTACTGTAGATTTAGACCTGCATAAAAACCGCAATGTATAGATAAGTCAAACCTGGATGGCAATGTTAATGCTTACATTTCCATAAAAATACAGGCTGAGATTTGTGACTCTTCTACTTTGTTAAAGCAGGAATGTGGAGTCATACTTTTCACAAAAGTGATGACTAAATTTTGTATAATTTCTATTAAATTGAAAATTTGTAATTTCTTGTCTTTTGAGCTGGAAGTATAATTATGCAGGTAATACTATGCACAAAAAATGTCTATTATGATAGAACTAGAAAGGACAATGCTGCCATCCATGGAAAAAATATAAAATGTGGTTCTGTTAAACTTTGAAAAGGAAATGTTTACAAAACAAATGTTTATTATTTTCTAAATGTGGTTTAAATGTGCTTATGCTTAGAAAACAGGGTAACAATTACTTTGAATGTGCATAAAAACAAATTCTTGATGAAACCATGTCCAAAGACATCAAGCCACATGTTTTATGTATTTTTTAGACCATATGTACTTAGAAAAAAATCTCAACATCAAAAAGTCATAAGATTTGTCAAAAGACATCAATCTATCTTTTATCCTTCAGGGTCACAGTGGGGTTGGTGCGTATCTCCTGCAGTAAGGGGATAGGAGGGTTGCACCCTGGTCAAGGTACCATTATATTGCAGAGCAGAGACATAACCCTTATGTACATTACCCTTTGAAAACCGACTCGTGTAGAGCTTGGATCAGTTAACAGTGCTGAGCATGGTTCCTTACAGTCGTTTACACACTCAGAATCAGGCGAAGAAGGTAGCCTTTTGTCAATTTATTTGACAGATTGGGCTTTTGGAAATTTGATATGACAAACGATAATCTAATCAGGGCTTATAGATGCAGGAAAGAATGACAGGAGTTGAGGTTCTTCACTCTGCTAAGCAGAATCACCACTGGAAATGATGCGGCAAGGTAGGGAAGCATTTTTATGAATGTCAGAAATGTCATGATTACGACGGTTGACTGTAAGGAGATTTCTGCTTCAGCGCTCTTTGTTATCTGAGAACCGGGCCAGAACTGAACTGCGCCGAGCCCTACCGATGAACTAGTACCATGTTAGCCATTTACACTCAACAGTTATCTCGGTTACCCTGCTCGGACCGTTCTCTGCATGGTTTCAAAGGGGTAGTGTAAAGGGCTATACAACCATGCCAACACACTTACACGTACGAGAGGAGATACCAATTAACCTAAAAGTCATGTTTTTGGTCTGTAGGAAGAAGAAGGAACCCATGCATGCACATACAGAACAGTAAACTCCTTGTAGAAAGACCCTGTATAGCCCTGGACATTAAGGCAAATCTACGCCAATTCCCTGATCTTGGCATGTTTTCTACCTTTGCATGTAACAGATAAACTGACAGGAATGTAACCTGATGTGCATCTTAAAGACATTTGAACTGTAGTTGTTGGGCACAATAAGATAATTTTGTTTTGAAGTTAATTTGCTGTTTGTAGCGTCGAATAGGTAGTCTGCACAGACAATAGTAATTCAAGGCTAATGTGGGTGCAGAGAAATGACAGCAAATTAAACTAACACACTGCCTTTGGCAGCAACCATCCTAAACTCAAGGATTCTTGTGATTCTATCACTAAAAAAATGCATTAGCTTGAACCTGTCTTTTCCTGGATTTAAACACTACTTATTAAAGGAACTTCATACAATGTTGAATCATCTTTGATCTTAGAAATGCATGATTTAGAAACAACAAGAGACAGTTCAAAAGCTACACGGCATAAAACAATTTTCAGTCGCTATATAAAGCAACTAAATGCTGTTATGGTCTTTAAGCTTTTTGAAACTGAAAGCCAATTTTTCACATAAGTCCCAGTAATTTACCAGGAAAATGTTCTAGGTCAAACAAGATTTAAAGCCTTTTACACATGTAAGTTAGTCCTCCTAAATCACCTGGTCAGCTCTTTTTAAACATAACCCTGCAAAAGTAGAATGAATGTACCTAGTAGCACCTAGTGGTGGCAATAATGCAAATGATATAGTTTTAAATGATCAAGTCAATCTCTAAAGATGTCCATGGCTGTGTCCACCCTAACAAAACAAATCCCATGATGCTTTGCACGGAGAGCTCTTGCAAAGCATTCTGGGATTTATATATTCATCCAGTGAATATGGATGTATGCTTTCACATTTGAACACTCATATAAAAAGGCATAACTCCTATAAAGTGATGCTTGGATATAGCCCATGTGTTTTGGGGTTCTCACTATCTGATCAGTACCAGTAGCAGGATCTGTACCATCAGCTCATTTGCAGAACTAGAATACATGCGGATTGCTACCAAATGAGTTAAATGGAAAAAAAACAAAAAGACTGTTTTTTTTTTCTCCCTAATTATTAAAGGCACACTGAACTAAAAATAAAATGTTAATAATCACTTTCTGTTAAAACAAATACACTAACCGGCCACTTTATTAGGTACACCTGTCCAACTGCTCGTTAACACTTAAATTCTAAGCAGCCAATCACATGGCGGCAACTCAGTGCATTTAGGCATGTAGACATGGTCAAGACAATCTCCTGCAGTTCAAACCGAGCATCAGTATGGGGAAGAAAGGTGATTTGAGTGACTTTGAACGTGGCATGATTGTTGGTGCCAGAAGGGCTGGTCTGAGTATTTCAGAAACTGCTGATCTACTGGGATTTTCAACCATCTCTAGGGTTTACAGAGAATGGTCCGAAAAAGAAAAAACATCCAGTGAGCGGCAGTTCTGTGGGCGGAAATGCCTTGTTGATGCCAGAGGTCAGAGGAGAATTGCCAGACTGGTTCGAGCTGATAGAAGGGCAACAGTGACTCAAATAACCACCCGTTACAACTAAGGTGGGCAGAAGAGCATCTCTGAACGCACAGTACGTCGAACTTTGAGGCAGATGGGCTACAGCAGCAGAAGACCACACCGGGTGCCACTCCTTTCAGCTAAGAACAGGAAACTGAGGCTACAATTTGCACAAGCTTATCGAAATTGGACAATAGAAGATTGAAAAACATTGCCTGGTCTGATGAGTCTTGATTTCTGCTGCGACATTCGGATGGTAGGGTCAGAATTTGGCGTCTACAACATGAAAGCATGGATCCATCCTGCCTTGTATCAACGGTTCAGGCTGGTGGTGGTGGTGTCATGGTGTGGGGAATATTTTCTTGGCACTCTTTGGGCCCCTTGGTACCAATTGAGCATCGTTGCAACGCCACAGCCTACCTGAGTATTGTTGCTGATCATGTCCATCCCTTTATGACCACAATGTACCCAACTTCTGATGGCTACTTTCAGCAGGATAATGCACCATGTCATAAAGCTGGAATCATCTCAGACTGGTTTCTTGAACATGACAATGAGTTCACTGTACTCAAATGGCCTCCACAGTCACCAGATCTCAATCCAATAGAGCATCTTTGGGATGTGGTGGAACGGGAGATTCGCATCATGGATGTGCAGCCGACAAATCTGCGGCAACTGTGTGATGCCATCATGTCAATATGGACCAAACTCCCTGAGGAATGCTTCCAGCACCTTGTTGAATCTATGCCACCAAGAATTGAGGCAGTTCTGAAGGCAAAAGGGGGTCCAACCTGTTACTAGCATGGGGTACCTAATAAAGTGGCCGGTGAGTGTATGTTTACATCTTTCTGCACTCATCAGTACCAATTCTCTCCCAGAAAAGGGGATCGTACCTTAACTCTGGCAACTCATTTTCTGGCTAGGGGTCGTACTTTTATAGTAATTAATGCATAATTAAAGAAAGACCCAACTAAAGTACAGATAAACAGGTAATCTAATTTTGCAGGAATCCTATAACCATGTACGATCATGACGTCAGATCAGCGACGTAATGGAAAAAATATAAAAAGTGTCCAATTCACTCCAAAAAGTCTTTATATATATATCTATCTATCTATCTATCTATCTATCTATCTATCTATCTATCTATCTATCTATCTATCTATCTATCTATCTATCTATCTATCTATCTATCTATATATATATATATATATATATATATATATATATATATATATATATATATATATATATTCATGAATGGTTCATGTCTGGTTAAGGACTCGCAGTGTACCAAAAATCAGGAAGGGCTATCAGTACTAACCTAGAAGAGTCAGATCTCACTTTTTTTTTTTTTTTTTTTTTACAGTTAGTGACAATTTCAAATTTATATAAATGCAGCTGTGATGAACAAGGACAATCATCAGTGTTAGATAAAATTCAGATAAGATAAGATTCAGTTCACTGTGCCAACAATAGGTTACCTGAAGCTCCTGTCAATCTGTTGGTGACCTCTGCTGTAAAGTAACAAACTTCTGCTGATAAACACAGATTTAAAAACTATCATCCTAACATTATTAAGATTTTATGGAGCTATTGTTTTTGTAATGCAGCTCTTAGCTCCCTCACTGGGAGAACCTGTAAGAAGCTGTGCAGTTGATTCCTCAGCCTTTTAGAGGGTGTCTTTTGTGCGCAGCACTTGGAGATTCATAGCCTGACCAGACTGCCAAATGGAGCACCCTGCTGCTCATTCTTTGATAAGAGATCTCATTTAACAAGCTGCTGGTGCAAGCAGCTGGGAGCTTTTTATTGTTAGAATGAAAAGCTGCTGTGGAACCTGTGTCCAGAGAGGACCACCGCGTTACTGCAGCCTCTGCTGGGGTGATGCAACAAATCAGCACTAACAAATACATAATTGCCACCTAAGATTCATTTGAATATGATAGGCTGTAAAGATATTCCACAACTCTTAACATGTTGCACGCTTCAATATAAAGCACAAAAGGCATGAAGGAAATAAAATGCTGAGATGCGATTTAGATTTATAATGAAGTATTTTGTTTTTAGATGGCTACACTGGCTTTCTGCTTGGTGTTGTCATATTAAGTCAGATGTACAGTATGATGTTTATAATTTCTAACAGCTTTGTAATATTCTGTTATTGTTTCACCTTTCCCTATGTTTACCTGTACTCATCTTGCTCGTTTTTTTTTTTTTTTCACTACCGGTAACTTAACTCTGTGACATTTCTCCCAGGAGTTTTCCAGTACAAAGTTTTTGAGGACTTCTTATAGTGAACCCCATGACAAAAAAATGCTTTAGTGTGGAGATCTCTCTGTTATACTGACAATTTCTCCAACTTGATGACACAAGTAGCACATCTAATTGTTCAATAAATACTCATTTATTCAGCTTAGCTTGCTTCCCTTTTTAAAGAGTATTTTTTTCCTCATGACTGCAAAATGTCCCCATTTTTCTTCTTATTAAAATTTTTTGAGCTTTTCCTGGGTTAAAAAGTCAAATAAAGTTTTTACTGTTAAGTTGATATTGAAATATGCGATGACATATAGCAGCACATTGTGCACCTTGCACATTAAGCTTGGCCAGGACATCCTAAAAGACATTAGCAATCTCAATGGATTTCTCTCCCAGTAAAATAAAGTTTAGATAAACATAAAGAGAGCTAAACAAAGTAGACATTCACATGGGAGAACAGTGTTTCTGCATTAAATTTTGTTTTCTCCTAGTCTTCCTGCTTTGCTTTTCTCTCGTGGCTCATTACAGTGGATCCAGCTACTCTCTCCATTTTTCTCAACATCTAACCAAACATAGTCTTTGATGATCTGACAATGTTTTCATCATTATCCTCTTCTCTATCACAAAACGATCACCGGGAGCAGAACTGCCTTGAACTAGAGCAACATTTAATCTCCCTTTGCACTTTTGTTCTATGAAATCGGTACTGATATGAGGCTCTGTCATGCATTGGGGACTGTTTATAACAGTCCCTTCAAAAGCTTTTAGGGATAAGCTGGAGTACAGTAAATGAAACACACATAAAAGAAAATAATATCACTACAGGTATTTAAAATCAAGTTGACAACAGCCGGCCTTTGCCAGTTGATCTAAAGAAGGCTCTTTACTTATTGCTGCTTTTATGCAGAAGATAAAAAACAGCTTTAAAATACTATTACTTATCATTGCAGACTCATAGGTCCTCTTAGGTCATGTGCTACATAAAATAAGGTTGATATTATGTAGACATAACCTCAAATGGTACATGTACGATAATCTAACCATTATTTTGAAAACCTATTTTCTTGTTCAGTGTTATTTGGATTAGCAATCTACCAGGTGAAGTGAAAAAATGCAATCCAAGATAGTAAATAAAAGTGAAAAGTTAATTTGATTTCCATCAAATATTAGAAATGAAAAAAGCGTTTTTTCCTTAAAAAAACAGCTTATGCAGTCAGAAATGTTCCAGTCTAAAACACTTTAACCCTATAAAAAATAAAATGAAGTAGAAAAGCATGCAGACAGTGCAGACCCCACCAAGTAGCACATTTCCCCAAACATGTTTTTACTGCCACCTTGAGTTAATACCTGTATTCAACGAATCTTTCAAAACATTCTTAGATCCAGATGATGATCCAGATCATCACCAAAATGTAATCATTTGTAGCCAGTCCAAAATTGCACTTGTTTTTTGAAAATTTCAGCAAAATCCATACATAACTTTTTTAGTTATTTTGAAAATAGTAAAAACAGAAAAACAGAAAAAAAAAACCCAACACCAATAAAAACATAACCTCCTTGGCGGAAGTAATAAGGTCCTAAGTTACTAAACTGACCATCGCACACATTGAGGAGAGGGCTAATCAAGGCAAAAGCAAAGCAATAACATCTTTTTAGAGGATTGCAAAAAAACAGCAACTTTTCTAAGGATTTTTTCTAATTCCTCTTCCAATTTAGCTTGGTGCTATATGGATTTCACAGCTGCTTTATGCTATTTCAAAAGGTACAAAATAGTTGAGATTAGTTCCAATCATGCTAAAATGAATCATCACATTTTTTCTTCTTAAATCTTTTGTGGTGAAAAAAATTCCACAATTATTTGAAGGAAAAAGCTATCATTTTTGGTATATTTTTTGCAGACAATGACTTCACTTTTTGGCTGACAAATAGGTATGAACTCCACATTATTTTAGAAAATAAAAACTGACATTCTTTTTTTCTAAAAAGAAAACAGAACTAAAATCACAATAAAGCTGTCTTTCATACCGTCTCCTCTGCTCGATCTCCCCTGGCACTAATGTAGGTCAATCGATAATGACGGACATTCCTGGAGTCGACAGCCTGCCACGACACCCGCATGCTAAATGTGGTTTCTTCATCGATCCTCAGATTCTTTACCGCATAACGAGGAGCTGGAGGGTCAGAGAGGGAGGAAAGAAAAAAAAAGTGAATAAATAAATCAAATCTTTCAGAAGATCACAGTCAGAAAAACCCAATGAAGCAAAAAACTTTCACACTGTGAGATGGAAAAAGATGATGATATCAAAATCTTTTGACTTTTAATTTACTTCAAACTCATATTGGTTTCTTGGTGATATCATCACCGTTCTGTGCAGAAAGTACCACAAACTTTTATGATGGAAGAAAAGGCTGACATCTAAAGACATGGAAGCAGATTTCAAACACAAATTTAATTGAAATTTAAATATTGGATCTTTTTTTTCAATCATCTTAATGATACATGAAACTTGTAATTTAGAATCAACTAAATTAGTTCAATTTTTTAGGATGTGAAGCGCTTATAAAAATTTATATTGTACCAATTATTTAATCCAATGAGCCAATATAAAGTAGTGCATATATTAGAAGTGAAAAGTAAAGGACCTATGGGCCTCATTGCATTCACCATTTTTCTCCTATTTATAGTCTCTTCTCAGGTACGAACCTATTTTACGAGTCCTGCAGACTTGACGTATTAATCTTCCAACAGTCAGCTGTTAAATGACTAAACTTCTCGTTACTTAGAAGTAGGTGTCCATTTTATTAGGATACATCATGACACATTATGCAACTCTGCAATAATAAATTATATTTTTATTTGCTGATGACACAACAATCAGCCACTATACTTTCAGCTTGTATGTCGGTATCCAGGGAACGCTGGTTTGATTTTTTGTCATTTTATCAAAAGAAATAACAGTCAGTAAGCTCTATGTGAGATCGAGCTACTATTGAAAAAACATTTGGAAAAGAAAACATAGAAATTTCATCAAAACTCTTCTAACGGTAAAACTTGCATTCATTTCACTTCATGCCAGCTGCTTGGATTTGTTATTATACTAAATGTTGATTTTTGAGTTTGTCTTAAATTAGAGCTTTGCTGTTAAGATCTTTATGTTTATGTGGTGTTTGAGAGAGATAAAGAGGATATTAAGGATATTTTGCTTTATATTTTGTAATTTCAGTTAATTTTTGGTTGATGCTTCATTTACATCAAATAATGCACCTCTAGCCTCCATCAGTAGTTTTAATTGACTTTTTATTTTTTATATTATTTTATATTTTTACTTCTGTAACAGTGTAACCAGAACATTGACAGCTCTTGTGATTTATTGCATGGTTTGGCTTGGACATGTCATTGAATAATGCTGCTCAGCTTTAAATCAGGAGAGCTTGTCTTCAAAGCCATTTCTATGAACGAACACCTTCCGACAAGTGAGGGAAGTCGTAGTCCGCCCATTTATATCAGGTTAAATATGCAGGTTTAAATTTTTTAGGAAAATATGCTCACTTACGCACAGGTTAACTGCGTCATGTTTACGGTGATCATTTGCAATCTATTACTAAAGTTAAAAGCATTTGCTGGATCTAATGTAGACAGTTCATAAGAGCCCTGAAGTAAGAGGAAAACTAAGAGAAGTTTATGACGAGAATATGAAAATGTTGTCTCATGAGGCCCATGTTTACAAAAACCAAAAGTATTATGTATTTGTATTGCAGACATATTGTTTACCACTAATTTCTATCTGCTTCCCTGTTTCTGCCACATTAAATAATCCTTTCAGCATGATGCTGCCACCACCATGTTTCAGACAAGGAATTTATGGTATGAATTTTCCACTATGAAAAACCATTTAACCTTTTGCTTTCATGCCATGATTTATAGTGTGATTATAAAGAGATAGAAATTAAAAAGATTTTTGTTAAGTTTTATTTTCAAACCTGCATATGAATAGTAGACATACAACTTAAAACTGGAGAAAATTCTAAAATATAAAAAAAGATGAAAATCTACAATTCATGTAAACAAAGTAAATCAGAGTTTATCTAAGTTTTTCTGAACATATTTGATATCTACAGAGAGTCTCTGTCAGTTCTGGAGGTCTGCATTGGCGCAACCAGGAGTTCAAGAGCTGCAGTTTTGAAGCAAATAGGGAATTATTCTCTAAGGGGCATCATAAGTCCAAATAATATTCAGAGAAACTGAGAGAAGGACCAATTCCCTTTGATTCAAGCCTGCTGTAGTTTCCATGACTCAGAGGAATAAGAATCTTTACAAGCATGAAGAGCTGCAAAGTAATTAGTGGAGAAAGATAAGACCAGGCAGAGTGAAGCAAGGAAAGAAAAACAGCACAAGGTGGCTGAATTGCTTACTTAATGTCGTTGTGGTTGTCGTAGCAACTGTAGTTGTCCTCTTAGCTGAAAATAATGAATAATAAATTAATTAGCCTGAAACCAACTTATTCTAGGTGAAATTTTATGGAATTTGTGAACATGAAGAATTCTTTGTGAATATTTTATGAGCAGGGTTTAATTTACCAGTGGTTTCTACCAGCACCACCTCATCACTTTCAACCTCATTGGCGTAGACAGCAGCCAGGAGGACTTCATACTCTGAAGCAGGCTCTAGTCCTTTAATCAGATAAGTGTTAGTGTTCCCATTCACCATAACCTATAACGAGAAAAAAGAAAAAACAAGAAAGTTTCCATGAGGTACCCAGATCAAACAGCTACCAAGAGATAACCAATTTATCATTAGGCAAAGTGAGAAATAAATCAGAAAAAAAAACCATATACAGATCATAAACTAAAGACATGAAAATAAAACAATAAAACAGTAAATCAAATTTCAATAGAGATCACACTAATGTTTTGATCAGAGAAACATAATTTATTTAAAGTGGCGAATACTTCATAATCTACGTTTGTTAAATAAATGCAGTCTAAGACAAAGGACTAAGGGACGTTTTTCCGAAATCTTAAAAAAATAAAATAAAATCACAAATCTTCAGATCTTTTATCTTATACAAAGAGATAAAAGGGGCTTTGTAGAAGTGCCATAAATGAAATATTTGACTTTTCATGCAGACCTTTCTTTTGATAGTTCTGAAAAACTGAATCCTGCTATGTTTCTATGGTGAAGTGCAAAAGCTTTTAACAAAATAAATGGAAAGCAGCAAAATTACAGACCTTTCAACACTTCATCTTTTTTTTATTTTTTTTACATTTGAACTTCATATAAAAGTGTGCTGTTGCTAGTTTTCAAAAGATTTTCTTTTTTTATCATCTAATATCTGACAAACTAAAAAGGAAAAAAGAACATCCCACAAATCAAAGCACCTAACATGTGGACTATTGAATTGCATCTTTCATAGAGGTAAAAAAAAAAAAAAGAATCCAACAGACTGCTGCAAAACGAGATCCTGACCAAATGTGCATTTTTACTGCTAGAGGACTTTCTGATACAAGCATAGTGAAACAGCCAAGTTGAATATTATGTGACCACTTTTTAAAGAAGCAACTTTTTGGATAATGAAGTTTGCATTTAAGATTGGCTAAAATGAATTCATACTTCATAAACATTATATATATATATATATATATATATATATATATATATATATAAATATAAAGCTGTGACTTTTACATTAGAGTTTACTGGAGAGTTATCTAATTTCCCTGCTGCCCTCGGGGAAGAGACTTCGAAGCATTGGATGCAGGTCCCGCCGATTCCACAACAGTTTCTTCCCCACTGCCATCAGACTACTGAATGTTTTGTAGAATGGGTTATTGTATTGTATTTTATTATTATATTTTATCATTATATATATTTAAAAAAATAGAACTGTAGATTTACAGTCATTTTTACTATTTTTCAAGGCTGCACTTTTCAAAAGATGAAATTGTCCAGTGAGCTGTTTCCAAACTAAATTTATTTTTGTTTTAAACTTATGTAAACAAGATTGCAAATAAAATCTGTCTAAAGTCTAATCGATCAAAATCTAATAGTTTTCATCACATTATTTTGTTTTCATCAAAAACAAACTGCATAAAGAATTTTACCAGCAAATAAAATAAGGTTAATCACAAATAAGATATAAAATACTTAAAAAGTAGACAGACAATATATTGGTATCTTAATATACTTTATCTATGAATAAATCAATGGATCAATAAAAAAGTCACTTTGTTATAAATAAATTGAATCAATGCAAAATAATATATATATTTATTGATATACACACCCAACAAATAACATTAAATAAGATTTAGATTATGATTTAAATTTATCAGTAATTGTATCACAGAAGTTACTGAAGTTAGATGAAAAAAATAAATAAAAAATTGACCAACCTCCTCACTGTCTCCCCCATCGGTTGGGGTCCAGATGAGTCGATAGAGCACCACATCAGAGGCCGCGTGTTGCCAATATACCCTGAAGCCATCTGAGGAAACATCGCTGCTCTTCAGATCCAGCGGATCCGGGACCACCTCTACAGAGAACAACAATTAGCTGAATAGTTTCTACAAAATCGAAAGGTTCTTTTTTTTTTTTTGTTCATTTGATTTTTCATAACAATGTTGCTAAATAAACACTACAAGTTTTCATTCGTACGTGTGGTGAAGCTTTCGGTCACAGCTGGAGCTTCGCCCTCTTTGTAGATTGCAAAAACCCCGACCGTGTACTCAGTCGTGGAGGTCAGGTTTCGGAGCAAGTAGCTCGTCACAGAACCAACATCCACCTGTGCAACGGGAAAACCAAAGATCTAATTCATTTTAAGAAGATTCCCTGAGGTTTGATTTATTATTTATCTTGAGCAACAGGTCAAAAACATGAAAAGAAGAAGGTTCACCTCATTAGTTTGGACTCCACTGGTCTTGACGTACATGATGCGGTAACCTCGGACCAACCTGGAAGGGGATTCCCATGTAATGCGAGCAGAGCTGTGGTCCACGTCCGAAAAACGAAGATTCCTTGCCGGGATCAGTGGTACTAAAGAGCAAAAAAAAAATAATCATATATTTTGCTCTGAAACTCTGACACCAAAAGGTTTACCAAATAGCTCCAACTAGGGGAAACAATTTACAGAAAAAATAAATTCCAAATCAATCATGAAATTAATTAAGATGTCAAGAGAAGCAATGGAATATAATCAAAACTAACACAAAATGTGCTGCTGGGATCACGATTCTATATTCTCTGCCCCTTTGATTCTCTCATAGACTTTGGAACAAGAATTATTGGACTTTGCTAGTTTAATTATAAAGTGGACTGAACCTCATTACATCACTTCCATTCCCTGAGGCTCTGCTCCAACTTCTTCTGCTGCTTGAATTCTCTCAGAGGACCTGAAAAGGTCTAAAGAAACATCCTGCCCTGTGTAGTTTTAAATTTAGCCTTGAAACCTGTTTTACTCCGATGTGTGAAAATGTTTCCGCTTCCGATTACTGATCTGTTTTCTTTAAAAAATGAGGGGGAGAAAAATCCTGATTGTTCTCCCCGTTTCTTCACCTCAATTATACAGGAGGTCAGAGAAAAGACAAACCAAGAGAGAGATAGAGGAGAAAGTAAAGAATGGGAAGAGATATGGCCACTACTTTTACTGCAGATGGTGCCTCGGTCAGCAGGATGGGAAATTAAAAAGGTGAAAGATAGGAAAGTTGGCAAAGTTTTATAAGAAAATTATACATCAAACAGTTTAAAATATGTATGACGCCCAACTTTGTAAAGGCTTCCTTAAATGTCACAGCAGCTTGTTTGTTTTCCCTTCCTTTTAACATGGCAAATTTAATTTGTATTTGGACCTTTTATACTTTCATAGAGGTACTGTACACATAAATCCAGTGTTTCACCTTGTTTTACAATACAACAAGTTCAGATTTTAACTTTGAGTTAGACGAAATAAGATGAAATTAAAGATTATCAATCCTTTTTAATGTGAATTTCATCATATATAATTAGATTATTCTATGCAATTTCCTTAAACATTTGTAATTCCTCAACTTTACATCTATAAACAAGACTGTCTGCATGCATGTCAAGACACAAGTTAAATATACTGAGTTTAAAAGCATTTTTTTCTGGTCATAAGAAAACAATTCCTAATTCTCTTATACTACCAGTCAGACCCCCCCTATCTGCATTTACATCCCTTTCATATGTGTTTACTATATTTTCAAAGAAAGCTAAGGTCAAGCCTGTAACCTTCCAATACTTGAAGCATTATGCATTCATTAAAAGGAAAATCTCCCCATGACTTCGTAGGTCACAGTATGGGCAACCTGCAAAGTTTGTACCTTCTGCTCAAGCGGGGGATGACTTTAAAGCATCAACAGAAAAAAGGTAAAGAAAAACAACCTGCAGAGTTGTTGGCTTTAGGGAACAATACAAAACATTTCCTTGAAGGTGTTCCTCTTCTTCTCCCCTTAAGCATGTGTAATATTGTGGTAAATAGCTTTTTGCCCGTTTATTGTAAAGCATTGTGCTTTAATCCTCCCCTGCAGAAATCAACGACCCATTTAACTATTAAAAGAAATGTGATAATAATGATCGGAAACAAAACACAAGTATTACAGTATTCATGATAAAAGTTGATAAAAGTTGCAGTACTTACATGGCTGCACAGACCATAAATAATACATATAATCAATAAATCAATGCTCACAGCCTTCATGATGATTCTACTGAATCTGTATTGTTATAAAGTTGTGTATTTAAAACAGACATTTCTACAGTTCTGAACGTATCTGCTCCAAGAATATTTAAGTGGTAATAAAGACAAAGATATAGTTCAATAGCTCCCTAAAAAGGTGCTAATTGTTAGCATCTGCTGAAATTGAATTTCATGTTTACATCAGTCAGTAGTGTTATAAAAAAAGACTTCTCTGTTTTGAGTATTTGGTTACATATTTGTGTTAAAGATAGCAAATAAATCTAAGACAAAGATATTTTCATTTTAAAAGCAAGAAAAGGCTGTGCAAACTAGCATAACCTCATCTGAAACAGTTATTGCCATTAAACTTAACAACTGGTTGTGTCAATCAGTTGACCAGCTGTTCTTTCCAAAATTGTTTGAATTCCACCACATTGCAGAGATTTTTAGTTTGAGGGCACACAACATCTATTTTTGGTTTAGTTTTTGAACTACTTATAACTGTGTTTCAGATCTTTGTCTTGCTGCAAAACCTGGCTGTGGCAACATTTATGAACATTGACTTTAATGGTAGAGACCATCATTTATGGTTCCATCACCTACAGCTGGGTATTCATATCCTGTAGAAGGAAAGCAGCTTAGTACTATCACACTACTAGGGATAGACGATTTACTATAATTGCAGATAAAATTATATTTTTTATGCCATGTACAATAGGATATACACTTTCCAAAAACAGAATTTACATATTTTTGGGGAGAGAAGCTGTAAGTTATTAATATTTTTTGCTTTGGAACTTTCTCATGGACTTAAGTTTTGTTCACTCCCTTTCATATTGCTTTTGACAGACTGGTCAACCCTGAGATTTAACACAAGCATGCCCAAAGTCGGTCCTCAAGGACCACTGTCCTACAGGTTGTAGAGGTTTTTGTGCTTAAACACAGCTGACTATAATTGATAGCTGATTAATAGCCTTTTGCTGAAATGCAGTAATCAAAATCAGCAACAAGTGCTAAGCATCTCTGGGAATTCCTTCAAGATTGTTGGAAGACCATTTCAGGTGACAACCTCTTGAAGCTCACCAAGAGAATGCCAAGAGTGTGCAAAGCAGTAATCAAAGCAAAAGGTGGCTACTTTGAAGAACCTAGAATGTAAGACATATTTCCAGTTGTTTCACACTTTTCTGTTAAGTATATAATTCCACATGTGTTAATTCATAGTTTTGATGCCTTCAGTGTGAATATTCAACTTTCATAATCATGAAAATAAAGAAAACTCTTTGAATGAGAAGGTGTGTCCAAACTTTTGGTCTGTACTGTATATTGCCATGTGAGTCAAGGCTTTTAATAAAAAAGCAGCAAAAAGAAAGAAATAACAGTTATGTTTAAAGTGTATTGGATTGGATATCCGATATCTAATGTCAAATCACTGATGTCCAATCCAGCTAGTTAGTCAATATCGGACTCCATATTTTATCCAAGTATCAGATTCATGTAGTCTCTAATTTTTTTTTTCTATTCATCCGATTGATACATTTTCTTCTGTTAGATTGTGGTCCTTATTTCATGTTTTCAGTGTCATGATCTTGGCACTGATGGTTCATTCCTTCCATCTGCCTAGCTCCACCCAGTTTTCATTACCTTTCATCAGATCCACCTGTTCCTGCTTCTACTTAAACTGCATGGTCCCAGCCATCAGTGCCATATTATTCTAGCAGTAGGTGAGAGTTCTCTAACATACCCAGTTTGTTTGTTCTGATAACCTAATCCTGACTAGTTTCTGCCCTTGGACCTCTGAGTTTGCTCGCCCCTTTTCTGATCCGTTTACCTGACCTGTCTCCAGACTCCTGCTGGATTCTGCCTGCTTACCACTTGGATTTCCTTACGGTACCTCTTTGGATCCCTGATCTTCTGGTCTGGACTTCTGTTTGCCTAATCAAGACCGGCTATGGCTTCTCCTTCTAAAATCACCTGCCCTCCCTCGTCTGCTGGCTTCTGCTCATCAGTTAACTCTGCAGCCTTTAGGCTTTGACTCCTGGAGCTCTTTGGGCGGCTCATGACACATGCTGGGGAATATTATCTGGCTGGATTCCACTCCTTCCTCTGGGCTCGGACTGAACTTCATAACCAGGTAAGTGACTCACATGTTTGTAATCACCCTATATTAGAGTTTCATAGTTACTAACCTGTGGTTTCCCCTCAACAGAGATTATTTCAGTCCTAGCTGCTGAGGCGCTGATTCATCGACCTGTTGTTAAACACTATTATAAGTCATGTCAGATTGTCTGCCTGACTTCTGGCTCCAAGGTTCTGTTTTCAGACATTCAGAGAAGTTCTGTTAAAGTGATTTGTTTGGATTCTACAGATATAACATCTAGCCTAGTTTGGACTGCTTTAAATTTAATTTATACACCCTTTTAAACACAATTTTATTATAATATAAACGATGGTTCAGATTATTTACATCATGTAGATACAACTATAAAGTGGTGCAGAGAGGAATCAAAATTTTATTATATGACCAGACTAAGGACAAATATTTAGGAGCTTTATGATCATAAAATATAAATTTTTATCTATGGTTTGTGTGCAACTTGCGCTTCAACGGAGGAAAAAAACCCCCACAAAAAGCAATCTTCATATATTTATTACATCAGACATGGGATCGTATTGTGAAGCACTACTGTGCTTATCTCTGACATGGTTCATTTTTTATTTTAATCAAGGTCATATGCGTGTGCTGTTTTAGACAACACTAATAATCAGAGTGTATTATTGGAGAATAACAGAAGAAATAACACTTCCTCATTTTGTCAAGTCTGTTGACAAAATGAGGGATGAGAGGCTTCAGAGAGCTTTGAAATCAGGATAAAATCGAGAAATGAGTGCAGATTAAACCTCAATCATGCTTTGTCCAGTTGCATCAAAGCTCAGCAGCTGACAAGAAAGTAAGTTTTCAGATCATTCTGATGATATGCAATGACACATAATTGCACCAAAGATACCATAAAAACCGAATTATATTGCAAAATGAAATAAGGGCATTTATATGAAGGAAAGAAAAGAAAGGACTCAATGATGCAAAATCTGGTAACGCAGGAAAAATAAGTAAGATCATTAAATTTATGCACAAAGAAAGTAATTTCATGCAGAACACATCGTTATCTGTAACATTATGTCTTAAAAAGTCAACAAAAAAAAGGTAAATCCTTTGCCAATGGAAAAACAAAACAAAACAAACAACAAAAAACTGCGACTGTGAAGCTGCTGACATTAACTGAAGCTTTAAACCCATTCTACAGATATAAACAGGCTCTGACTTAAAGCCACACGCCTCACTCCTTCATGGATATGCCATAAAACATAAGCTGGTGAGAATGGTTAGGATTTGGAAACGGTTCAACAGAAACAGAGTCTAATCACTGCTTTTAAACACTGAAGATAGAGTGTGACATGCAGAAAATAGCTGTGAGAAAGGGAGCTGGACGTGGATTTTGGCACCCGAGGCTGATCATTTAACAGTGGAGAAAATCAAAAAGTGCCAGAAAATGCGACTTAAACATGCTCTAGTTGCACTAGAAAAGCTAAATGAGGAGTCTAAGGTGAAGAAAACACAATTAAAATGGCTAATTCCACTGATTAGAAAATATTAAAGTCATGATTGAAGGCAAATCATGGAAACAGATTTTCTGCAGTGTCTGAATTAAGAATCTAGCTCATCTTCTCTGAGTCCTGCATGCAGATATTTATATAGATCTCAAAACAAGCTAAAATTAGTGAAGTGTTCTTTATGAATAAACAGAGGTCTCTTTAATAAGAGATTTGGTTTCTTTCCAAATGAACCACAGGCAGCTGCAAGTAAATTGAAATGACTAGAGTGGAGTGAGGTGCTCCAAAGAGAATGAAAGCAATTTAAGATTAGGGTGATAAAGCCGTAAGAAAAATATTTTATTAATAAAACTTCACAAAGCTTATTACCCAGAGCCTAATATTTCTGCTGAAAAGATTTTGCCTCAAGACTTTGCAGAAAGTTGAATCTTTGTATAAAGAGCAACCACCAACCGTTCAGGTTAAAGGTAAAACAGAAGCTGAGAACACAGGGATCTTATAAAGTAAAAATTGAAAAATATTGTGTAAGTAAACCGCTGTAAAAACTGCAGTTGAAAAATTGCATCACAAAAATGTATTTTATATACATTTTAGGATAAAAATATTACAGTTCAGAGTTTAGCCAAACCATTTATAGCACTTTTAGATTTATTCCCACTAAATCAATGAAACAAAGCAATGTATGGCGCATCACTCACAACCAACTTATTGTTGATCTACCTCAGAGTTTAAATGAAATGCTTTAATGTTTGTGGTTCCAACACAAACAAGAGGATTATCATTAATTCTTTATATTACTTTTTTAGGAGTGTCATTTAAAAATAGCATTTTTCATAATAAAAAACTAAAATTTATTTTGCACAAAGAAAATGTAGGAAAAGTTTACATTTTAGCTCATTTTAGGAAAACAGACACTAAAATAGTTTGCACCTGATCACTTTGCAAACAGAGAATACCAATAAAGGAGGATATGGGAAAATACAGGTTTAAAGGATTGTTTGGTTGATGCTTACATGTGGTCTGCTGACTGGTCATGGGATCACTTGCCTCCTCTCCATACATGGCGTAAACTGTCACAATGTATTCAGTGGCTGGAGTTAACCCTTCCAGCTCCACCTCATTTACAGAAGCGTCCACCTTAACCTGCACGAAAACAAACACACAATTAAACATAAAATAAAATTGTGTGTTTCTGACTTGAGTGTGTTTTATTACTAACTTATGTTATCCCTTAGTCATTCTATCATATCAATCCAAAAAGTTCACATTATTTAAACAGGATTAGGGTGTGGATATGATCATTTTCCTGAATGAAGTAACTTCAGATACAGAGCTGTGTCAGAAAGGCTTTAGGGGACTTAGGGTTAATCAAGGCAAATGGAAATTGCAAAGCCTCAATAAATACTTTGAGAACAGTGTTAGGATCAATTTCTATTGTGTTTCTATGTGTTTTATTAAACCTTAATAATACCTGCCTGTTACGTTTTAAGATTAATATTTTCCCAAGTAGTTTATCTAATTAGGACAGTTCTTCTGTCAGGATAAAAAGTTATCATCTTCATTATGTTTAAAGATTTGGGAATGAAATGGGCGCACAGACGGAGCAGATCATTCTTAACAGTGAGTTCTCGGCCACTCGGCGATCAGGCTGTCCCTGATCTAGAACACTTTGTAATATCTTAATATGGCTGGAGCCGGTGATTATTTACAAGCCTCTGTGATGTGATGATGTGGCAGGGGGAGACCCTGGAGATGTATAAAATGCTTCTTGTTATTCTGGGCTGACTTTCTGAAGAAGTAAGCCCGGTGATAAGTGCTGCTATTTGTAAGCTGAGCCATTTCTCTGGTCTAATTACAATTTATGAAGAAAAAAAAACAGTTGTCATGTCCCATAGTTATTTAATACATATACATTTATAGGTGTAATTTAAAGTGATCTCTTGTGAGTAATCTCTTCTCAGGAAAGAATTGGAGAGAGAAGGTTAAGAGCTTTCCTTTACAACAGCAACTTTCTTTTTTTCCCCTTTTTTTATTTATTTATTTTATTTTTTTTTAAGCACAGCCACTCATGTAACATGGGCCTTCAAGCTTTTCAAAGATGCTTTCAAGCCTGCCAATTCAATATAGCAACAAGCGATGAAATCAATTTTCTTTAAAAGAAAACTGAAGTTTACAACAAAAAAAAATGTCAAATACAGACCAAGGAATGTTCTTCTGCTGGTCTTATTTTCTATTACTTATTTATTGTTCAAGATAATTGTATTACAAAGTAACTGAAGATTCTTGCAGTTTTTACTGTAAGACGTGCAAATGTCATAAGAACACTGTACAACCTTATGCAACTTTAATGATGAAGGTTCCAATAATTCAATGAGCATGACACAACTTCCAGTAGCTCAGCTTCAGTAGCCAAAATAATAAATGAACTGTTATAGTTTGATCAAAATAGTAAATATATTATAGAAAATAAAGGTAAACTAAGAGTGGGATGGATTTGTATGGTCTTGAACAAAACCTTAAAATACCTAACAGCAGTTAATTTAAACCCCATTTTATGAGCATTTAGACCATTTTAACATCTTTGTGGCTTTTTTCAGATATGTGAATAAACATTTAAATGGAAAATGGCAGAATATGGCACTGATTCACTTTTAAACTCACACAAACAGCATGCAAGCTAAAACACATATATATATATATATATATATATATATATATATATATATATATATATATATAGATAGCTGCACTGCTGCTATCAACGCCCTTGTTTATAGATGTTGGAGATCAGCCTGTTTTTCAGTGTAGTCCTGTTTCTCTGACTGTGACTGGCTGGATGTGCTCTCTTCGTCCTCTGACATGGGAGTTGGCTCGGAGCTGGTCTGCCTGGCTGTGTATTTCCTGAACCGGGTCGCCTTTTACAGCTGCTTTTTGTATCTCTGCTTCATTCTCCTTGAACCCCAGTCGGCCTTGGCAGATGGCCGCTCACACTGAGCCTGGTTCTGCTGGAGGTTTCTTCTTGTTAAAAGGGAGTTTTATTTCTCTCCACTGTTGCTACAAGCATGCTAAGTGTGAGGGATTGCCTTTGAGTCAATGAGTCGATGCAATCAACTGGTTTACCTTAGATAGAAAACTTTCAATCAATTTGACTGTATGATCTGGTGAACTGTAAAGTGCCTTGAGATGAAGTGTGTCGTGAATTGGCGCTACAGTATATAAATAAACTGAATTGAATTTAATTAAAAGAGAAAACTATTTGATTTCAGACTAAATTTGTGCTGAAAGAAAGTTACAGCTCAGATGCTGTTGCTGAAATCACATCAGTTTTAAGGTCAGGCATGGAAGCAGGCTGGTTAAGCTCAAAGTCATGGCACTTTTTTTCATTTTTGCCATTTTTTTCCCCAGTCTTAACTGGCCTTGACTGAAATCACTTTCTTTTGGCTATGACATTAGCGCCTCAGAGACAGGTTCGTCTCTGGTTCGGAAAAACATAATTTTCAAATGTTAAGTCCTCAATGAATGGATTTTAAAGCTTTCTATTTGTAGGGGAAAGGCAGGGCAACAATAATGAGATCTAACAGGAAAGGGTGAGTTCTGCTGGGTCTGCCTTAAACAATCGCTCAAATCTGCAGAAAGTCTGTAATTTCATGATGTACTAATAGAAACAAACAGTCAGGGGATGATGTGAAATTACAGTTTCAGTCTTTTTTGGTTTATTTTCTGGCAAGTTAAGTAATAAAATGTGGCATCCGATTTTTTTATTCGATTTCATACAGTGAATATAAACAATATGAATTTTGTCTGCCTGTTCCTATATCCAAGGTGATCGTTTAGAAAAACATGTAGCTAATTAATATCTGGAGTTAAACTGTGAAATAGACACTGATTTTGTATATTTTTCCTTCATTGTTTGATTAAATTTGGGAATTTCTTAAACCAGGTGATATGTCCTCATGTGGACCAGCTTAGCTTTTACTACTAAACCACAGTTATACTTAAAATATCTTTGATACTTATATGTAGTTGACATGGGGTGCTATAGGTCAACACTATGTAATTGTTACTTAGTTACATATGATAAATAAATGTTATGACATCTTAAACCTTGTACATTTTTAGTTGTTCTCTGGCGGTGGAAAAAACAAAGACAGAAATAGTTCACCCTATTTACCTCCTTCTCATCTGCAGCGTCCTGCTCAGTCAGGGGAGCATATAGGATCATGTAACCTGAGGCCCCAGCAGCGATCTTCCAGCGAACCCTCATGGTGCTGGGAGTAATATCGAACAAATCCAGGTCGTTCACTGTGGGCAGCGCCACTGCAAGACAAAACAAATACACTGATGACTTCAGCAAATAGAAAAATCAATCACTTTCATAATGTGTCGGAACAGATCACATTTTGTTTATTACCAAAAGAAAAGAGAGAACAAAATAAAGTAGTTACATTTTTCCACATATGCACTTGTGTGTGAGTTTGTTAACTAGAGCTCCTCTTTTAGCTTTACTACTTCCTAGTAAAATGACTGCTCTGATTCTCCAATCACTGCTTTTATGGTTAGTTTGTAATTAACATACTTTTAGCTTGCATGTATGTGTTAATCCATATTAACCCCATCCAACCAGCTGCAGTCAACAAATTAGTTTTTTTTACTTTTGTTACTGTAACTGTAAGAAAAACAAAACTTTATTGCCTGCATAATTTGGAAATTACATTTTAAAAAAATCATGATTATACTTAGAATGCATATTGTCTGTCTGTCTATCTATCCATTCATCCATGTGGCACAAAACAAGTTTTTGAGCTGCATAACTTTTTGATCTAAGCAAACACGTGCACAAAAATTTGATGCAGTCATTACATTTTATTTACAGCTTAAACCTTTAATTGCCAATCTGCAATATTCAAACCCTACTAACTTTGGTTCAAGGTCAACTTGTTGTTCAAATTTTATCTTTGACCTACATGAAGCGATTCAAGTTTCTTCATCAGTGATCAACAAAGACAGGATGAAAAAGTGGACATCTGTCAGCTTTAGTGACAGGATAAGGTTTTATATTTAGAGCTAAGTGAAGGTTACCTGTGAAAAAATGGAATCACACCTTTGATGCAAAAGGAAACTCATGCGTGGCCGTATGGCTCACAGTTAATGTTTAATGATTTTGCCCGACACATAAGAGAGTTATTTTTATAGCAGCTTTTATGGTTATGATCAGTTTATATATCGCTTTTGTAAAAATAAATACATAAAATCAAAACCACAGACCATGCAGTGGCCAGTTACCAGTTTGAAGGTACACAAAACTTATAAAATAAACAGCTTGCACAACAGTTAAAATATACAGGCTCATCATTTCTAGATTCTTCAGAGCTTGAGGGAACAACATCCCACTACAGAACATTGAACATCTCCATCTAATATCACCTCAATGTCTTCTTCAGGTCCTTCCTTTTTTCATATAAATTAATTTAAAATAGATTCCAATATAAAATGCAACCAGAAATGAGTCTCAAAGGGAAACTTATCTGGCAGTAGGTTATGCAGAGATGTTTAAAACATATCTAAAACATTCCACACAAAGGCCAATCTATTTTAGTAAACTACATTAGTCGTTTAAATGCAACACATGTTTATATTCTATCTCTATTCTCCCACTCTGCAGAATCTGTTAGTTCAATCTCTCTCGTTATGCTCTCTCTGCTTTTTCTCATATATCTTCACCTTGTCTGTTCATGTTTAGCTGTGACTCCATCCTGGAGAGAAATATCAGCTGTCCTGCTGCTATCAACACCTTTTTTTATAGATTTTGAGATTGGCCTGTTTTTCAGTGTAGTCCTGTTTCTCTGACTGTGACTGGCTGGATTATTTTTCTTCTTTTTCTTCTGACATGGGAGCTGATTCTGAGCTCATCTGCCTGGCTGTGTGTTTCCTGGATGGGGCCACCTTTTACAGTTGCCTTTTGTATCTGTCTCCTTGAACCCCAGTCGGCCTCATCAGATGGCCGCTCACACCGAGCCTGGTTCTGCTGGAGGTTTCTTCCTGTTAAAAGAGGAGTTTTTCCTCTCCACTGTCGCTACAAGCATGCTTAGTGTGAGGGATTGTGTTCGAATCAATCAATAAGTCGATGCAATCAGCTGGTTTTCCTTAGATAGAAAACTTTGAATCACTTTGACTGTATGATCTGGTAAACTGTACAGTGCGTTGAGATAACGTGTTGTAAATTGGCGCCATACAAATAAACTGAATTGAATATTAGGGTTGTTTTCAAAGGGCTTGAAATAAGAGTGAATTTAGCTTAATCTTCCTTAGGCATTTCACTTTTTCTCTCCCTCTGCATTGGACTGCTTCGATCCAGTCCGTAGTAGAGAGGAATATCAATATCCGCAAAGCAGAAAGTGATTAGAAATACTCTAAAGGCCTGATCTTTAGAAGATTTGCGTGTCTTAAAACAGGTGCCAACGTGTTTGTATGTGCAGAGCAGATCTTCAAAGAAGGTGCAAAGTGATTTGCGTTTGATATTCAGAGGTCAGCCTGTCCAATATTTTATTTTCTTTTTGTGTTTCTGCCTTCATCAGTATGCAGAACAGATTCTATGCTCAAATGAATATGATATGCAAATGTAAACATTTAACAAACGCAGTGTGATTTTCCAAATCTGAAACACAACTTTGGCTGCAGCTTTTGCTGATTTTTCGGTACTTTTAAATGTCAGGAGTAAAACTGAAAAACATATCTGTGATCATTGTTGCTAAAAAGGAGGCATTGGTTCTAACCCGGAAAATGGAGAATGATTATGTGTATATAAAGATTTTTATATCTTTATCATCAGAAATAAAAGTAGAATAACATTAAGAAAACGTCTACCCAGGCCAGCTCGGATAAATGCATTTGTTTGAGTTAAGCTGAAACGAAAAATAGGGAACAAATATAAATATTGTGACATGTTTATATGAGTAAATAAAATATCAAAAGAGCTTTGCAAAGAAATGTGGGGTGGGGTGTAAAGAGCTGGTTATACTCCTGCTGCAGTGTGTCGTATTGAGCTTGTCTCATGAATTATTCCCAATATTGAAGCGTGGTCTGCGCTACAGTATGTTATTCCACGCCACAATGCAAGAGGGACAATTATGAACTAGCTGTGGGTCTAGATGTTGCCGAGGCGGTGAGGAAGTGGGGGCAAGTTTGTGCGACAACAGAGGGACATGAGGGCGAAAAAGAGCGGGGATCCAGGTGGGAAAAGGGTCCCAGCGTTCTTGCGCACCTCCCTCTTCTACCTGGTCCATCTACATGAGTCGTTTTCCACAATGGCGGTCATATAAACAAAACAACCCAGTAAGGTACCAAACAGGAAATACGCATAGTGTAGAGCGGATGTAGATTTGACCAATCAGAGGGCTCCTGTCAGCGGCACTGTCTGCGGTCACCTACAGTTATGGAGAGGTGCAGCAGAGTTTCTGTGGCACATACACAGACCACCTGGTTTCTGAGTATAAATCAGCCTTAAATGTGCATGTCTAACTAATCGCAACAGGTTTTTTTCCTCCCTCTATTCAATGAAGCACAAAGGATGGTTATATTTGATCATGTTTTATGATATTTCACTTGGAAATATTACAGATTTTTTTGTAAATATTTGTCTATAAATAAACTTATTTCAAAATTTTCTGAGGTATTAATTTAAAAGCAGTCAAACCTTTTTAGAATAATTAAGGAAATTTAATGGTTTTGTTTTGTGAAGTTATACAGTAGCTCCCTGATGGTTAAAGTGTTTGAGTCTTTGACTGCTATGTGGGGAAGCCGGGTTTAAATACAGTTTGCATCTGGAGGAACATCTGACTTTTGAGCAAGTTGTAATGACTTTCTTTGGCGATCCACAAGAGCAGCTGAAAATACTCAACATCAGCATCGTAATCAGTGCCGTCATAAGAAACATAAAACTTTTCTTTTTATGGTTACTGACAAAAAAAAGGTTACAGAGCTCCTTTATCAAAATGAGAGGGAAAAGGAAACTTATTCTGGACGTATAAGTGAAACTCCAGCCACATCATAAGTCTTTTTATGACATTGTAACCGATGCGGCTTACATGTTGTGGCACTTCCTCTCAGGGCCTCACTGGCAGTGCTGCGGTAGACGGCAAAAACGGCCACCTGGTACTCTGTGAGGGAGTTCAGATAGGTCAGCTCCACGCTGTTCTCTGTCCCAGAGACCACCTGAAAGACACAATTAAGATTATCCTGGATCTTATATCACTGCTTTAAAATCACCTAAAATCATTAGAACCTCTACATTCATTCCTATGGTTCTTAAATCAGCCTTTTTCATCAGAGCTTCGGTTGTTTATATGTTTTAATTACTGCTCTGGCATGACAAGTTCACTATTTTATTGTGTTTTTTTTTTTTTTTTTGTCATTATACTAATAAATAAAATTCCCTATTTTAATGTCTTTCCCAAATAATATGCGTTTGTACCGGGTCATATTTATAACCCAGGAATAGAGCCCAAACTTGCCAATGAACTGTGGTTAACTTGAAAAATTTTACTTTTAAAGTTACTGTATAACTAAAATAACTTTTTTTATAATGGGAGCACTTAGGGGTAACAGGATGTGACAGAAAAGATTATATTAACACATTTTTAGGTGTTTTCTTTTGAATAAATATATTTTAATTAAGTGTTGGCTGTTCTGCAAAAATGAAGATGAATTTTATTTGAAGCCTTTTACACATATCTGACTGGGGTGATAGTAAATGCGGAGGGTCCTGTGCTATTAAAAAAATAGCAGGATTTTGAAGAATTCTCATTAAATGAGCAGCGTGAAATAAAAAGTATCACAGGCAACTTTTACACCTTTCATTCTTACATAAAATAATTGCTCTGCTTTTTCGTTTTTCTGAATTTGTCAAAACAATTAGAAGCAAGGTTTTTGAGGTTGAAAACATGACAGCTGCCACTTGAAATTCCTGTTTTCTTAAAAATATCAAAAAGAAAAAGAAATCACACACTGCAAATAAGAGATAACAGAAAGAATTAAAGATAGAACTTGTTTAAATAAAAAAAATCTAGAATCAAACTTTACTATTGTATATGATTGACATTTTATGCATATAGATAATCTGGAAAAGAAATCCAATGTGCTTTAACTAAAACCTCTAATCAGCTCTGAAGTAGCTGTAATTTTTTTTTCAGTTTATCACCTTATCTTTTTTGTTTATTAATACTTTAAATGTTCCCACATCTCTAGCAGCTGGCATGTTGTTATGGTGTTATTTAGTTTACCATTAAAGTTAGAGACACTTGCTTTTACGATTCCCAAATGGCAAATTCCACATAACAGTCCTCAATAAATATGCAGATCACTGTAAGAAATTAAATGGTAGCAATGACCCTGAAAGGATAAGCAGAGCATCTTTAATTAAAAAGGATGTCATTAAATCAGCACTTGGGCATTTTATTTGGCTTGTGCTGGGAAATTAGCAACAGAGTAATATCAATTAAGTGTCTAAAGAAAATTCTCTGAGACTCAGAACTAAATGGCACCTCATGCTGCTCAAAATAATGTGATCTAAATGGTTTTGGTTGAAGCTGGAGTCACTAATATTTATTCTAACACAGTAAGACCTGCCTTAAAACTAAGACAGGACATTTGAAATCATTCAGTTCATGGGCGGCCTTTCTCAGGTCATGAAGGGGTCTTTATACATATTCAGAGATACTAGACTTTCTGGACCGTTTTGAACATTTCTAAACCTTTGTTAAGGTAGCTGTGCTGCTTTATAACCACAGTGGCACTATTCCAGGGTCCTGAGTGATGCAATAAGAAATCTGGTAGCAGCAGTGGCAGCTTATTCATGTAACCAGTCAACATAAAAATTCCATCAGAGCATTTGAAGCAGGATAAGACACAAGGTTGTGGGCTCAGATCAATTCCCTAACTTTATAACAATTCCTTTTGGTATGCAGCATTCTAAGTACATTTAACACTATTGGTAGTGCAGTTGCAACAATTTTATATAATTTAAATCCAAACAAATGCAGAAATACCATGAGCCAGTTTCTTGTACAGACATCGTTATGCTTAAATTTCCAATGGAGTAGGAATGCCGTATGAGTAAATGCGCACACCAGTCTAAAGCGCACATTGACTAGTTGCTGAAAGGCTAAGGAAGTTTTTTTTGCTTTCCATAAGCAGCTCTAACAGACAGTTAAGTAACACACTGTGGTCATTTTGCACATCTCTGACGTTGCTGCTATTTTCAAATATCCATTACTCAGTGATTAAAGCAAAAAAAAAATCCTAAGCCTGAACTTTATATATATATATATATATATATATATATATATATATATATATATATATATATATATATATATGAATATATGCATGTGTGCGTATTTTGAAGCCATGCCAGGTGAGTTTGGGAGCATGGGATCAGAGATTGCATGAATGATGTACGACATTTCTTTTGATAAGCGCTGTGTTCAGCAAGGTACCGGTAAGCACACAGCCTTATTTTTAACTCGCATACACGGTCAGTTATTGACGTTGGTACATCAGCTGTTGCCATATCTCCCGGCAAACGTGTAGTGTACGGGACTATACAAACACCATTTTGATGACCAGGGTCTAACTAATGTTTTGTAGCAAATTTTGGATGCATAAATAAGCTTCCTGGAGCACAGTGTGCAGAAGCAAGTGCCTGGTTCACCTAACTTTCTGCACCAGCTGCTAAATGGCTTGCCATCTTTCCCCGTCTACTCCAGCCATTCCCAGTGCCATTTTATTTTGAGACCTTTATCTACAGTATGGTCGTGACATCTTCCCCGGAGTTCATGAACTACGTTGTGCCCACTCCATACAATTCTGTTCTCTCCATCGTCCTCTCCAAACACAAAGTTTCTTTTATTTTTTTTTATTATTTTTTACTTTTTACACTTCTCTCCGTTGAATGGAGCTGTAAATGGTGCAAGGTGACTTTCCATGTAGAATTTCAGCACTGTACCGCAATCTATCTGGCGACTTGAGCAAGAAACGAGAGGAGGAGGTACACGCTTTCCTAAGACCCGGCCCTTTCTTCTACTGATTGGCTAATACTGTTAGTTTCAGAGCGCTCCTTTGCTACCATTGGCTGAAAAACGCAAGATTACCCACGGGCAATCGCTATGAGCCGGAAATCCAGCCTGGGGCCGGAACACTTTAATCCCTGATTACTGTAAAAAAAAATTTATTTTCATTTAAGTGTTCACTATTATGTTATTCCTATACATTTTTCTAAGGTCCACATTTGTGTGGTCATTTTTTTCTATATCTTTTTGCAGCTGTAAACACCAGAATTTCCCCATTGTGCTACAATAAAGGGATTTTCTATTCTATTCTATTCTTTCCTATTTTATTCTATCTACAATAATCTTGTAAAATAATTTTACATTATTGTCCAACCATCTTGTCCAACATTAGTATCTCACCTCCCAAATCCTCTGTGTTAGAAACAAATTAATATGCCCTTAAACAGATTTCTACACCTTGAAAGTAGCCGTAGACGTTGCTTCATGTGCTAAAAGTGGGTCAACAACAGACTAAAGCTTTTTTTATTAGAAAAAGAATCTCTTAAGTCATTGTATTTGTTTTTGTGAACTCCGGTAACTTCAGGCAACAAAGTATGCATTTCATGAATCATTAGCGTTTACTGCAGTAGAGTAACAATCACTTTCTCCCTGAAATAAGAACTTTCTAGAAGCATTGCCACAGGAAAGAAGAGTTCTTGGCAATAGTCCTGATCTGGTATTACTATTTACTGAATGTGGGAACATATTGGAGTTTATGCACTATAGCAACAAAATTTAGAGAAACCCCTGAAGCATCGCTTTGTAGGACACTTAAAAAGATTTTACTTTTCTTGCTGATGTTGATCATATTGTTTTTCTCTTTAGATTTTTGGAGCCAGTTTCTAAACAGAAACATACATTGGATTAGATGCTCATAACAGCCAACACCTTATTATTCTGAATCATTAACATAAACATAAATTCTAGCCAATTTGAGAAGACAAGTTTAGGAGGATGCTTTGGCAATTAATCATAAAGCTTTAATTATATTATTAATTAGGGGAAATCAGGATAATACTGATACAGTCTAGGGTAAATAATATTACTGAAATTGCTGTAATTATCTAAACATTGAAATAAATATATGTTCAGTCTAAATAAGGAGGTGCAGTAGAATCCACCTTTTCTTCTGGCAGACCTCCACTGGCTGGATAGTAAACCACTCGATATTTCTCCACTTGACCCGGTGCATGAGTCCATGTCACTCGAAAACTGCGAGCCGTTATCTCTGATGTCACAAGATCACGAGGGGGCGCAACGGCAGCAACGGGTGGAGCTTTGCCTCCTTCCCCTGCAGAATACAAAGATCAGCCTGAAAATGCTGCATGCAGTGTTTACGCTGCGTAAAATATGAACAAAAATGACACCAAACAAATGCTGCTGATTTCTAACTGAAGGGGAAACAGTTTTCATTGCATGAGGTGAACCTTTTATTTTTTTGTCGAGCTGATCCACGCGGTCACAAACCGTCGTGGTGAGACCTTCCACGATGTCACTCATCACGCTGAAGTCTGCCACGTTGTAAACATGAGTCTCCTCGGGAGGGGAGGCAATGGCCTTCAGCTCGTTTTCATCTGCGTTTTTCACACCTGCAAGGAGAGGAGCGGCAGAGATGGAGTGGAAAATTTAGACTCAGGCAGAAAATACATGAAAGGTGCTGAGGATGGGTCTCTGATGATGCAACGAAAAGAGGCAGCATTTCATTTTAAAAAACTGTTTGTCATACGAAGAAAAATTCTCCGCGTGGGAACGTTTCTGAGTATCACCTTTACTTAAGGCAAAACTCTGCCCTCCCATCTTTCTGAAAGGAGGGTGGAGGATAAATATGATCATATATTTTTTTATTACACTTATGTAATTCTTTAAAAAGTCCTTATTTGTTATAGCTTTTTTTCACCTTTTTGTTTCAGTTTATTTTATTTCATTAAGTCAAACAAAATATATCATATTGTTTAACATTTATTATGTGCAAATTTTATTTTATTTTTTTTTCTTAACAAATTGCTTTTTTAAAACTTTAAAAAATTTTCTATGATCCTGTCCTATCTATATTTCTATATTTATCCAATAGCAGAACAGAGTGAAATGACCTTTTGAAAACAACCTTTAACTAAAGTTGTATGAACCATGGTAACATATTGTGATGATCAAATACAGAAATTGACATACCGATAGCAAACAGTTCTATCCCAGCATCCTTCAGGCTTTGCGCAGGAGGAATAACGTCGTCTTGGGATTTCCCATCAGTGATCAGGATTCCTATTTTTGGAACACCAGGCCGGGAGCCTGATTCTGCTTTAAAACTGTTTTCCAAGATAAAGGTAAGAGCCAGACCTAAATTGTTGAGAAAAGCAGCTGGTCAGTGAAACGAATATACAACAGCAGAACAGAGCAGATAAAACTGGATATTAGCTTCACATTAATGGGTCATATAGGGGAAACACCCAACTTGACATTAAACACTTTTGTGCCCTTTTTCTAGAAATGTACACATTTACAATAAAAGACAAAGGACACAACGAACAAATTTAAAGTATTCCAATCTGGTGTGAATTACAGCTTAATAACATTAAATGGAGGACATTTTTTAATCTCTTATTAAATACAGAAGACAAAACTTCCTCAAATAAACCACAGGTATGTACAAAGTTCAAGAAAAACCTATTACGAACTAAAGTAAAGGACAAAATTATCAAAACATAGAAACTAATTGCAAAGGTCTTCCACCAAACAGTTATGGACATTAAAGTCGAAATTTTCAACCACAATGAGAGAAAACTAGACAGGTTTTAAGAAAAGGTGTCTCTGTCATATCAACAGGAAGTGACACAGCTTTGTAAGTTTAAGCTGCTTTAACTAGGTCAGTAGCTCTTCAGGAACACCTATTTAAAACAAATAGGAAAATAATAGATAACAATAAGAAAAATGCCTCCAAATACATAAAAAGTGTAAAAGGTTGCGTGTTAGGAAAACAGAGCTAATAAAGAAATAACACAAATCTGCTCACACAAATTGTGTAATAAACTAATAAACCATTAAGTGCTGTTGACTGTAGATAGAAAATATAGTTATAAATGTTTTTTTCTCAGTGTCAATATATTTCTGAGATTATATCTTGTTTGAAAGCGTTTTTGTGTGAGTTTAATGAAAAACTGGTCAATTTAAAAGAGGAATTTGGATGATACAGCCATGGTTTAGGAGTAAGACTTTTTTTTTTTTCCTTCATCACAATAGTTAAGTGTAAAACTACATGAATGAAGTCAATATTTTATTAAAATGAAATCTTAATAAGAGTATATCTATGAGAAAAAAAAAAGATGTTTTGGATAACTTAAACTGAACTTAACCAAACTGTAGCCTGAGCTGAGCCTTTGAACTCAGAGGCACAGAGTGATCTTTCTAAGGCTCCTGCTTTAATCTTAAATTATAATGACAATTATCCTCGTAATGTGATGATTTTATTCTTATAGACTATGTTATTTTTCTAACTTTACATCTTTATTCTTTTAAGTTATGTCTCTAACCCCATATATCAAATATTATTTATTTAATCTACTAATATTATGACTTTATTTTCATAAAAAAGAAAAAAATATTATTACTCTTTGAATAGCCCTGATATTCCTTTGTAGAATTAGATTGATTAATTAAAATATTGTGAAACCAAAATAGGTTAAGAAAAATTTTCTTAACAAATACTCAAAACCATATATTTAAACATAACATAATGTTTAAACATATTTGCAATATATAATAATATATTTTGAACAATTCTAGCCAACAAAAAATAAGGTTTTGAAGAATACTAAGGAATATGAATTAGTGTTGAGAAAATGATACTAACTGTCAGATGTTTGCTCATTTTTAGTTTGCCTTTGGGTAACCAGACTATGAAATTATAGCTTTTTTACCCCAAATGATATAACTTAAATGTTGATTTCTTTAAAATAGAATAAGAATTATCAGTGATGCAGTTTGTACAACAATAACTAGAAGTGCCATACTTTACAAAATGTAGTCCCTCAAAGTTACTTTCACTGTCCTTTAGATCTTACCCAAACATGGTCCTACAGCTCAAGAACAGTTGAATTGTTCATAAAAATGTAATTATGGAAATCAATAGATTAAACACAAAATTGTTTTTTTATTCATATCTGAATCGCAAAATTGAACCAGAATATTTCCCATTGCCAAAATTACACATTTTGAGGTTTTTTTCTTCTTTTTTCTAAAAAGCACCAGATTGATTAAACTGTATTCTAGACAATGGGACATCTAGAGATAAAATTCCAGAAATCTGGTGCCAATCAATTGTTTTTAACCCACATTAAGCTTTTTCTTGATGGTTTAACGAAACACCCAGCTTCCTTTAAAGGTGCCCTAAGGGAAGCTAAATCATGTAAGAACGTAGACATGAACCACTGTCAGAGATTAGATTTGAACTGATAGGAAATGTGGTTTTTGTTTCATGATTTACGACCCTTTAATGAACAGCTGTAGCCAACGATGGCATCCATGCTTTCTGTACTCACAGAACCCCAGAATCAGAATAAAGTTTAATGCCATGTACAGCAGGTTTGCACTTAGAAGGAATTTGACTTGGCGTTGAGGGTGCAGACAACCTGATCTAGGGTTGATCTAAATATTTTTGCAACTTTCTAAGAGAAATGAGTAAGAAATTACAACATAGGGTGTAGTATACTATGAGGACAACATCACAATGACGTGCCACTAATTTAAATTGAAGGTAATATATAAGCAATCTTTTTAAAATTTAGAACTTATTTATGTTTGTATATACCTTCTGATATTTTTTTGGCATGGAATGTATTTTTTGTCATCCTTACATTCGGATTTAGTCTCATCCAATCAGCAAAGCTTGTTATTGAGTCTAATAATACCACCCTAAAACCAACTGGAGTGAATTTAATAAACAAAGGTAGCAAACTGGCTTAATTCCAGTTCCACCTCTGAGTGTCATCTGTTTGCTCATCTGTGTTTGGAAGACTATAATAACCGGAAAGTAGGGCGGGAATTTGCTTGGCAGCATACCTGTCAGTGTGTTTCCTCCTTTATAGGGCAGGTTTTTCACAGCCTCTATTACAGCCTCCTTGGTAGTGTGAGCATTCAGATGCCACTCGATCCTGGGGTCTCCACTGTACTGAGCCAGTCCTGCATGGAGAAGTAGAATTCAGATGCTGTTCAAACTAATGTAAAGGAAAATACCAAATTAAATTCCTTACCAATCCTTGTCTTGTCAAATTCCACAGAGAACGCATTAACAAGCTTTTCCAGAAAGGCTCGAACCAGCCTGAAGTTAATGCGACCGATACTCCAGGAGCCGTCCACCAGAATCACGATGTCGGCAATGGCAGGGGTCTTGCACGTGAATCCATCTTCAGCTGACAAGGTGGAAAAAGAAATCAGAAACAAGGTCAGTGCCATTTTTAAAGAGAAAAAATTCCCACTAAACGACTCCATATCCAGCAATGACTGCAATGAAAATAACGTAAAAAATGCATACAGCAGCAGCACATATTATAAAACCTGCAGAGGTGAAAGTAGGACAATTAGATCTGTAGCTCCTGTCCTAAAGTATTACGAAATGTTTAATTAATTCTAATTCACTTCAGAACAGAATAATTAAACCCCAGCGGAAGCAGCCGCTTAGTTTCAGCAATAACGGCCCACTCTTTTGTTTATCTCAACAGTTTACTGGGTGATAAGGCAGACCAGCTCTAATGAGGCAACAGCAGTTCATTTACAAACACTCTTTCAGCAAAGTGAGTAAAAGGCTCAATTTCATTGGCCACTTCCACGGATCAGGAACCTCGCAGAGCAGGAGTCACAGCTGAAAGGCAAAAAACTTTTCATGCAAAAATCAAATCACCTGTTTTTAATGTTAGCTTGAATTGAACACATTGTGGACCAAGCTGATGCCATGGTTTGTATGCTGTACATACATCAACCTTATTGTACATCTGCAGCCGTGTTGGTGCGGAATTTCTTTTTCCCACAAATATCAGAGGATATTTCTTTCAGGTCACAGCATGTTTTAACATTTCACAGGACCAGAGCAGGTTATAAGATTGAATGATCGGAGGGCTGGCAGGGGTATTCTTTACCACTCATTTCATTTATCTTTGACAGGAACTTAGTGGGTATCACCTCTTGCAAGTCTCTGCAGTGTTGGAATGTGAGCCTCCTCCCTGGTTTGTTACAAGAGTCTGTGCAGCGATTAAATATATATTTAGTGGGTCGATTGAACCAGTGAAAAAGGACAAACAACTACTGTAGGAAACAACATCTGAAAGGATCAAATCTAAAACTTTAATGTGTTTGTTGCTGGTTTAAGAGAAGAAAAAGAAATGTCCCTCTTCTTCAAATTGTGTAATGTTGCAAACTATTTTAAATTACTGCATTTTAAAAATAAACTGTTGTTTTTGTTGCTGTTTGATAGCATTTAGTTATATAAAGTTAAGGTTACAAATTCTGAGAAATTAAAAAGCAGAATTTTTTCTATGGGAATGGATGAGAACTTATAGGGAAAAACAAGAATTATGAATATTGAATGTTGATCCTTATAAGATAAAATTTATTCAGAGAAATGTAAATGGACATTAAGAAGACAAGAATATTTCCAATCAGAAACTTATTAAATAAATAAGTAAATATATGCTATTCTTCACTCACCTACAAATAGTATAATGCTTACTGCAGAAATGTTTAAGCCAGAACCCATAAAATTATTTCCTGGCACTCAGGACTGCAAAGTCCAAACATCTTAGTTCATCTTAGTTTAAGATATGATAAAGCTTGTTTTAACTGCTCCCAATTTTAAGCTGATTCCCAAAATATTCCACAAAATTCCAACAAATCCCCTGTAGAGTGACTAATTAATAATAGCACAGACATAGCAAAGACATCTCGTATTAATTTTCTCTATATAGCTTTTAAAAAAATACAACATGTTTTAATGAGTTTTTTAATGCACACAGTTAAATTTTAAACCTTGCATGCCACAACTTGTGTGTATTTGTAAACTTTGACCTTTAGATGCTGATTTTCCTACCAGCGGTAACTGATAAAGCTTAGTGTTCAGAAATAGTGAAGTTCCTGCTGCATTTCTAATTATGACTACTTGTTTTTTTCCCCCATTCTTCACTCATTCTGCCTGACATCAGACATGAGGACACTGAGGAGAATGCTTGGGAGAGTTTTCCTGTCTGTCATCTATTACCCAAGCAAGGACCGATCTGCCTGTCATCTGAAAACTTCTGCCCAGTTAGTCTACATTCTGTTGCAGATCCTCTCTCCTTGGACTCTGGATTTCCCTCTCATCTAACCCTCTGGGAACCTCTACCCAGTTAACCGTTTCCCTGTGCATGACTCCCATTAGCCTTTGGCCTGTCCAGCACCATCGGGATTTGGATCAGTCGCTCAGTGATCTGAATCATCCAAACAGAACCACTGGGATCAATCTTCACAGCCAGCACTCAATTGACATTTTCTGAGATTTTTTCCTCGTAGTACTATTACTAATCAGAACCCCTGACAAGCAGCAGGAGTTTAAATAATTGAGGACGACCTTACTCCAAATATAAACACATGAATAAAACTGGTTCTTTAATTCCCTCTGGAACAACTTAATTAAAAGAATACATTTTTTTTTATTAAAATAAAAACACTGAAAGAAAATACTGAATAGGAAACACAGTAAATTTTGATGTCTACAACAGCATACTTGACTGTCTTTAAAAATACTCAAACATTCAAAACCCTACCACTCATTTAGAATATACAATTTACATACGAGTCATTTCCTGTTGGAATCTACCAGAACTGAACTAAGAAAAGGACTACCGGTAAGTGCAAAGGGCAACCACTCCATTTAAGACATTGTTTAGGGGGGGAAAAAAATCACACTAATGTAATGGCAGAGAGAAAGGATGTATTTCAGTCAGAGCAGGAAGCAAAACAAGCTGAACAGGGCTTTAGAGCTTAAGTTTATAAATGACTGGCACCTTAAACCGATGGCAAAATGGAGAATGAGAGAGAAGGAAGAAAAGAAGAGCCATAGACACTTGTATATTACAGGGTGTAACTGCAAAAGTATGTCTGCGGTTTCATTTTCAACTTCTACCCTTCTATTATTTCTTATTGTCTGGGAGAATGCTCAACCAGTACCCTACAGTAACGCCATAATTAGACCCATTCTGTAGAGTTTCAAGTGCTTTCTTCATAAAACTCCTCATTTTCACCTTAGTGAAAAGTGTGACGCAGCTGGTAGGAGTAGTGATACCTCCAGGCCCTTTTGGACCCAACATCATTTTGGAAGGAGTGAGACAAACAGTATCCCCATGGAGTATTTTCTGGTTGCTTCTGCACAGATTAAATTTTGCTGACTCCTTACCTGGCAAGCAAAATTGTTAATTTGTAACACTTGTTCTACACATTGTTATTCTAGGACTGCTCCAATTAAATCTGTTAGAGGAAAGGAGGGACATTCAGCAGAGCCAAGTGCCCGCCTTCCCAAGTTTGGTTTCAGCCAATCACTGTAACAAATGAAAAAGCTGCAGATGTCATGAGAAAAACTTTGTAGCGCTCTTGCTGTTCCTCTTTCAAAGATAAAATTTAAATTAAAGATGTAATAGCATCAGTTTGTGTAAGTTCTCTTATACTGCCACATATATTTTTGCTGTATGTCCAGCCTTAAATAATAATACCAAAACGTGATTAGCAGACCAATTTTGGGCAGGCTCTGTTTAAGCTGGAGTACTACAAGATTGATTCTCTAATTTTGTGATCTTACAAATAATGGGAGACTTCCAAAAAAGTAAAAAAATAAACAATCCACTAGATTTGTTTCCAAGTTTGAAGACGTTTTGCTTCCCATCCAGGAAACTTTTTCTATTCCGAATTTTTCATGTCAGAATTAGCGTTGTGCTCAAGGCGGAACAAAACAAAGCCCTGTTTTGGCTTAGAAAACATGTAAATTTAACTAGACAAACGGGTCCACCACTTAGGAATGAGGGTCGTTTTGGTCCTTTGTTACCTAATATTGGTATATGCCTCTGAAAGCGGGGTCGTTAGGGGGAATTGTTGGCCCGGCTGAACAGGCGAGATGTTCTATGTTCTGGACAGTCAAAGTAAGCTTTTGATTTATTTACCGAACTGCCAAATGATGCTGTTTAATATATACAGAATACATATATACATATATATATATATATACACACACACATACTATATATATATACACACTTTGAATACTTTTGCCACATTTCAGGCAATAGAACAAATTTTGTTGGGTATATTAAACTTAAACCTCCAACAAAACAAAAAAGAACGGGGCATTCAAAATTTATTTGCCACTTTATTTTGAATGCAGCAAACGCTCTCCTGAAGTTCAAAGAGGATCTTTGAATGATCCAGTGTTGACCTAAATGACTAAAGATAAATAGAATTCACCTGTGTGTTATAGTGTCTCCATATAAAAGCACCTCCTCTGTAATAGTTTCAGAGGTCTGTTTAAAGCGCAGAGAGCATCATAAACAAGGAACACACCAGGCATGTCCCAGGTACTGTTGTGGAGAAATATAAAGCTGGATTTGGATACAAAAAGATTTGCCAAGCTTTAAACATCCCAAGGAGCACTGTGCAATGAATAAATATCAGACCACTGCAAATCTACAAAGACCCCGACGTCCTTCTAAGTTGTCCCTCTAATGTTTCCACTCAAACAAGGAGAAGACTGAACAGAGATGCAGCCAAGAGACCAATGATCACTCTGGATGAACTGCAAAGATCTACAGCTGAGGTGGGAGATTCTGTCCACAGGACAACAACTGGTCATATTCTACACAAATCTGGCCTTTATGGAAGAAAGATTTTACATAAAGATATCCATAAAAAGTCTTGTTTAAAGTTTGCCACAAGCCATCTGGGAGACACAGCAAACATGTGGAAGTAGGTGATGTTATCAGATGAAACCAAAAGCAAACTATATGGCAACAATGCAAAGCATCATGTTTGCCGTAAAAGCAACACAGCTCATCACCACGAACACCCCATCCCCACTGTCAAACATGGTGATGGCAGCATCATGGTTTGGACCTGCTTTTCTTCACCGTGGATAGGGAACAGGGTTAAAATTAATGGGAGGATGGAAGGAGACAAATACAGGACAATTCTGAGGGACTCTCCAAAAGACCAGAGACTCGGACAAAGACAAATTTTTCAACAAGACAATGAATGATCCAAAACATAAAGCAAAACCTATGATGGAATTTTTCACAAATAAACATATCCAGAAGTTAGAAAGGCCAAGTCAAAGTCCAGACCTGAATTTGATAAAGAATCCATGGAAAGAACTGCAAACTGCTGCTCACAAACACTCTTC